ATTTAACTAATATATTAGTTAAGTAATTTTATCTATAATGTGTATTTTAGTATTTATTTATTTTAGTATTATATTTCTATTTTCTTAATCCTATTTTTTAACTCTTCAAATTTATTAAAGTGCCCCCCATTAATGATTACGATGGTTTGTGTAAACTTCCTTAAAATATTTTTGTAACTCATCAACATAAACACAAAGCCAGCTTATCGTTTCTTTACGCCCTAAACATATAAGTTAGAAGTAAATAATTTGCTGAATTTTGGTTTTTACTTGACTATATGCATTTGACAAAGGCAAAAAAATAAAAAGATTAAATAAATTATTGAAGATCAACTTCACACTCATCCATTGAAATCAATTATCTCTATAGCATTATTACATTGGACTATTAGTAATGTGGACACTTTGTAATACTATTATATAATTTGAGAAATTCAATAGACAAGACCGCATAACATTCATGAGGATGAATTTTGACTACTGTATTGCCTTCTTGCTAACTTATTCATTATATGTCTTATTCACTTTATGTCCCTTTTTTTAAAGCTTTCAAGTTAAGGTTACGCAACAATTACTTCATCACAAGTATTATTGTTATCCAATATTCGTAATATTATATTCCCTTTTCACCAAAGTCACAAAGATTTCAGGTACTTACAATATACATTATTGATTGTGAGCTCAAAAGACAATGATATCTTCAGTACGAAAAATACGTTAACCTTATCTTTATTGATAACTTACCGGTTTCTTCATCTGCCAGTTTATAACAGAACTATACCCTTGTTAAGTATAAGTGTTAAGTATGATCGAAGATGAGCTAAGAATATTTTCCATTGCCTTGTTTTATATAACTTCGTCTCTAACCAAACTAAACTCGCTATAACATAGCTCTTCTGTCTATATTCTTCATGCAAATGACTGAAAACTTTACAGGTTGGCCTTAATAAGGCTTGTTGATACCAATGTTTAAAAAATATTAGTGTTTTTTTTTTCTTTGACTTGAGATTTTGAGATTTTGACTGGCAATCGTTAGTTTCCATCTAACAAAAGAAAAAATATTCTGTACCAACCAAGAAAAGACTTTCTCGATTAGACCTTGTATTGTTATTTACCACCTTAATATGTTTTTGATGATACATATAAAAAAATCAGGTCATGTTCACAAATGTGCTTACAAAATGAATTAAAATAAAACAAAACTTGCACTGACAAAAAAAAAGTATAGTGATTGTAACGATACTATCGCAATATGAACTGACAAAGAAATAGAGCGAACGATGTTATTGCGTAGCGAATCGATTTCGTAATTCTATGCTGTTTGAAAAATAATTAAATTGGAGTTCATTTATATTTTGAATTTACGTTCCGGTATAGGTCAAGAAAATTATTTTAATTCAGTCTTAATTTTTTTGTATACTTGATTTTTGACAGACTGGCATTAAACTGTTTTCGTGTACACGGAAAAGTAATTATATGTATTTGGGTTTTGTTTCATTTTGACATAAAAATCTCTTTAGTGCTGAAATTATATCTTTTTTGTGAATAACATTAGGTGCATTATAATGCAATTTTCATACTGATGGGGAGACGGAGTATAATTTACTGAAAACAGAAACATTATTTATTACGTAACGTTTTATTGCTTAACATAGGGTAATCATTTTATTTTTTCCTATTGATACTTACCGTCTCAAAAGGAAGGAGATTCTTAATTTGTTGTTTAAGTATATCTTTTTATTCCAACTGTATATACATATGTTGTATGTATATAAACTATTAAAAGATTTCCCCAAATTATGTATAATAGATCTAAGTACACAAAAAGATTACGCAAAACCTATTCCATTAGACTATAATGGTTTAAATTCAGAAATACAATATCTCTATCTTTTAAACAATCAAGTGTAATTAGTAGAATTAATTGCTACAAAGTACTAGGTACAATCAGGAAATATCAAATATTGGAAGATGAAAAAGCAAGTCAGATATAATATATTCAATGAAATAATGTTTGAATGTTCATATTTTAAAATATTTGTATCAATTTATATATAAATATATATTATTATATATAATTTTATACTATATTTAATGGTATAGCACGTTATGTGTGTATACAAAAGTATCTCTCATATATAATTAAGTTGTTGCTGCATGGAAAATAATCGAGGATATAATTTTATTATGTTATTTAAATATAGCGAAGATAGTGAAATTGGCTTCAGATCGGTTTCGACCCTATAAAATTTTATACAATTACTGGTTTTTGCACATTTTCTCAGTTTCAGATTAAGTAATGTATGTAATGCAGTGAACTCTGGTTTGCCTTAAAGGCAGTAAATAGACAGATTTTGTAATTTATTAAGTTTTTCCTTTGTTCATCGAACAGGAAGAAAACTTCTCTATCTCCATTTCCTGGTTCTAAGCTAGATCTCCACCGATTTCAAATCCGTACTGCCGTTTTTGAATTATAACTAATAAGTCTTTCTTTTATACATATAGATAACTTATCTAAGATAAGTACTGTTATATTTCAGACAAAAAGCAGTTAAAATGCTTTAAAGTTTTAAATTAAAATTAATTCGATTATTACACAAGCGATCCCACAGTAAGAGAATAAAGCAGATGAGTCATTTTTTTTTAATAACAATAAAAAATATGAAACAATGCTCATTTAAAATTGATTATATGGCAACCTCCCTGAAGCCTAAAGTGTTGAAGACCTTTGACGTCAGTGATTGAAAAAGAAAAACAAAAATCTTTTGCCTTGAAGAAACAATGAATGTCGTAACCTAAGCAAGGTTCAAAGAGTTAGGCATCAACTTGCACGTCAATTTCGCAGTTGGATTCGAAGGCTTCTGACGTGCGCAGGCGCGGCTGTGAAGGGTTATTACGATTTAATTGGATTTTAAAGTAAGTACACATCATATTTTTATTCTTTAAATATATACAGTGCAGTTATTTCCAAATTAAAGTATAGATTTTTTTCAATATAAACGTTCTTATTTTAAAAAAGAGCCGTTATAACGTAAATATTTCTAAAACAAAGGAATTCTGTTTTTCTTTTAATGTGTTTGTTGACCAGGATATATTATATGAAAATAAAATAAGTAATTCATATAAATTATTTTAAACTTTAACTATGACTTATATTTCGTTGTTTTATTATATTAATGTTGTCATTTCCATCACGTACTGCCCGTCAGCTTAAAACCTTATTACAATGCCGTTCATGTCTGATTTTTTTGTATTAACACATCGATTTGGTTGCCCAGTGACACTATTGTAAAATGTATATTACATATTATAATTATATGAATTATACACTTTTGCTTATATATAAATATATATATCTGGGAATAAAGTTTGTGACATTCATTTCTACCTCATTTAATTTTATCAATTCTTGTAGTAAACAACTTAGAAAAAGATAATTTGTTTTCATTTATAGATATTTTTTTGAGTATCTGCTGTAATTGTCGGAATATTCTGCGGAAGTCGAATAATTGCTATTGTGAGACATTTAAACTTAGAATTGGAATTACCCAAGTAACTAAAACATAATAGATGCAATTGTTCCGTTACGTAGAAAATTTGATCCCGTCTATAATTACGTAAAAAAATTCAAGTGCAGATAAAATACGTAATATTTTTTATATCCCTCGTATAATGAATAAAATAAAGTTGTGACTGGAATTTTAAAAGCATTAATTATCTACATTTTATTTTTGTTTCTAATAAACTTTAAAGCCGAAAAATTTTTTTGGACATTTGCTTTTTGTACCCAATACAAAATCTTGAAAAACCAAGAATATGTTTAATAATTGGTGATATTAGCAATTTTTATTAAGTGGCTATATCTATTTCGTTTACCGTTCATTAAATAGTTGTTATGCTTGTCATTTGTATTCACATTTTTTTGGGTAATTTTATTATAATGCCATCATACTTAACTTGGTATATTTGTTCGAAAAAATAAGCTAATGTTTTAATATTAATTTGGAGTATGCATTTGTATAGATACTGTTATTCTTGCCTTTTTAGTTCTATATTATTTTTTCTATTATACTACGCTTTGTTTTGTGCTTGTGTAAGTTTAGTTATTGCAGTAAGTTTGGTTAGGAAACTAGTTAATTATAAAACACCTTTCTAGTTCCTTTCTACAGTTTAAACTCTTAATTCAAAAATTAACCAACAATGAGTTAAGGCTTACAGAAAACTTAACGTTTAGTAAATTATATTATGTTTATTTATTGATGACTTTTATAAGGACTTTTAATAACATCAATGAATTATATTCTTCACATTATTAAATTATTAACGTAACATTTTTTTTGATTTTTGCTTAGGCTTCTAAAAATACGCGCGCGCTCATATGAAATTTGTTTCGTACATTAATATACTAAAAAAATAAGCTTAAAACGAATTAAAATCAGTGATGTTTATTTATACGTTATTAGATTTTTAAGAAAATATATCAGTATATATAGTGTGAACATATTACTTAACATATAAAAATACTCAATGAAGCGTGAATTAAGTAAAAGTACCGCACCAAATACAGGAATGTCGTCCGATGATTGCACAAGCGTTGCGCTAGAATCTATTGCAAATATTACCTTCCTGATTAAGAAACCACTACCAATATGTTCTTTTTTACTTCGAACAATTCTAAGGATACAACTATTGGGTAATATCTGTACCAATGTTTGTGTAGGTAAATTTTTATACGAAGTTCGTGTATAAACGACGTGCTATTTACATAATAGAAAACTATGTAAAACCAACAACTAATGATATTGCTGTTCTCATGAAGAAATACAGAAGAAATATATGTACCACTACTTATTAAATTTGAAATGCTTTAACGATAAAAATATATATATTTAGACAAAATTCGTGCGTGGAATATAATTTTAATATTTTTTCTTTTCAAAGCAGGATTAAAATATTAACAAAATAAAAAGTTGTACTCACCATTATTACAGATCATCGAAATGGCGTCAGCTGCTACTCTAGTCCAGCCCACTGGTGAGATGTGGAAAAAGATTCGAGTGGAACTCAACGAGGATGTCAATACTCGGGATAAAGACTTGGCAGCAATCAAAGAATGGCTTCGAAAACAACCGCACCTTCCCGACTCCTGGGGTAGGAATATCATTAACAATTAATTAGTATCTTCAGTATTAATTACAAAAATAAAGCTTTCATATATCAGATATATTTGCTATGGAATTCTAATATATATTACTATGTATTAATATTATAAATGCGAAAGTAACTCTGTCTGTCTGTCGGTCTGTTATGCTTTCACGCCTAAACCACTGAACTGATTTTAATGAAATTGGGTACAGAAATAGAGTTGACCTTGAGAAAGAACATAGGATAGTTTTTATTCCAGACTTTTGAAAGGTTCTCTTGGAAACGCGATATAACCGAACTCCACGCGTGCGAAACTGCGGGCGGAAAGCTAGTATGATATAATACTTAATATTTATAGTTAACCTTGAAAATATAAGAGAAGATTATGTTTAATTATAATATATTGCTTGGCTTAATGAGATCGTCTGTTTGGAATGTGATTATAGATAGTTTTTATGTAAAACAAGACCTAGCTCAAACACAACACTCATTAAATATCGATATGATAATTTATCAATGTTATTTTTATTGGACGAAGTATCGAATAGAAGAAAATAGCTCTATGTACTTTACTTCCATTTAAAAATACATATGTTTTGCATTATATATATTATCTCAGACAATTGATAAAACGCCAAATATGTAACAATTTTTTTTACCTCATATCATTATTATACTGTATATATTTTTCGTAAGAGTTTAACTAATATAGAATTTTCCTACAGGCTTTGTTTTAAAGGTGTGTTCATTATATCCAACCAAGATTTCTATTTGTTTAATAAACACTCATTCTACTTAATCTTTTATAAATACTCAAAGACTTTGGTAGCCTAAATAAGTTAAGTAACGCTAGCAATCCTTTCTTAATTACAGATGATGGCCGAACAATGACTTTTCTTAGAGGCTGCAGCTTCTCTTTAGAAAAATGCAAAAGAAAATTAGACATGTACTTCACAATGAGAGCGGCTTGTCCAGAATTTTTCCAGGATAGAGATGTTAGTAGGCCGGAGCTAGCAAATTTGGTTACTAAAGTGTAAGTGATCCACCTTTACGACTTTCATCTACAAAAGAGCAATGTTTACAGTACATACATAAATTTTAATCATTTTATAAATAAAATGTTCAGTAAATAATAATATTTTTCAGGCAAGGAGCTCCGTTGCCTGGTTTAACTCCGAACGGTAGACGAGTAACAGTATGCCGTGGTAAATATACTTTTTATGTAGTAATTATAAATAAGTAAATAATTTCATTCTTCACAATGAGCTTCATATACGTCTTTTGAGATTAAATGGAGTCTGTTTATAATATTTTGAATTGTGAACATAATTTTTTCTCATGCGCGTAACAAATGCAAAATTTACAATTAAACATTATTTAATGACGGAACAATTTAAATGTTATAAATATATAGCATCAAGTTTTTTTAAATTGATAATTAAGAAATGAGTGCTGAATTTTAATGAATACTTCACAGTTAGTTTCTATAAATATTCTTTTGGTATAGTTATTTTAGTTCTGTGCTATAAATAACTTTGTTTTTGTTTTTTTTTTGGAACTCGTTACTAACCAGCATTAGATTGGGTATATATCTTTCAGACCGTGACATGCGTGATTTTTTTTAAACAATATACATATTATATAATGTGAATTATTTTACAATAATGAAGCAATTGATTCAAAAACTTGATGAAAAAAACATATATTATAGTGTTTATTTTTTCAAATCTCTTTGGCAGTTGTGTATAGTTCAGATATTTTTTGTGATATCATCATAAATATCTTTCACTCTGAATAAATAAATATTCTAACTCGTATCGAGACCAACAAAACCGTGAAAACCTACAAGGAGAACTTAAATTATGAAGGAAAATTATGGCAGAGACTTTGTTCCATCTCAGCTTTGTCAGGTCCACTGATAGACATAAGATTCCTTCATTACTTCCATTTGGTTTTCTTCGGGAGATTTTGTTAAAGTATCCCAATTTGTTTGTTCTAATATAAGGAGCACAGCAAAACCTTATAATAGGAAGTTAAAGATGGCATATCTTTTTATTTCTAAATTTTCTATACATGTCCAGCTCTTACAAGGGATACGCTCTTTAATTGAATTTTATATTATTAGCTAGTCACACTAATGATCTTTTATAATTTATGAAAATGAATTTTATTGATACATAATATTATTGTTCCTTTTGCTTGACAGGTCTAGACAAGAATATAGACGCGGATGAGTTGAACAACGTTTTCAAAGTCGCTCTTATGATAGGAGATGTTCGTCTGAAAGAGGAATTAGAAGGAGTCGGTGGTGACATATACATCTTAGACGCATCAGTTGTGTCTCCAAGCCATTTAGCTAAGTTGTCACCTTCAGCGATAAAGAAGTTTCTAATATGTGTGCAGGTTGGAATTTATCTTGTTATGTCTGTCATGATTTATAAAGATAAAAAAGTAAATACGTTATTAATAAGACCTTTTTGTAACCGTCATCATAATTTTTATTTCATTTCATAGGAGGCGTATCCAGTCAAGTTAAAAGAAGTACATGTCGTAAATACATCACCCATAATCGAAACCTTAATAAACTTTATTAAGCCATTCCTTAAGGATAAAATTAAAAACAGGGTGAGTTACACTTTGTTAAGTCAAACCTTTTTTTTATTACATTTTTTGTAAGCAATCATTAGATTATATGATTCGGTAAAGGGTCAATAGGTACCAGGGAATCATGAGTTACTTAGAAATATTTTACTAACAGCTGTCCTTACATGACTCAGGGGACTATTTTACTGAGGGATTAGGGTCTAACTTACTTTTTATACTCTGCTAAGAACAACTCAACGAAGAAGTAAGAATGCTTATTCACGAGGCGAGGCTTTGATTAATAATCTTTTTATTATAATATAAAACGTCTGAATTTAATATAATTATTGTTTGTTTCAGATATTTATTCACTCTGATATAAACACGATATACGATCACGTGCCAAAGGATATGCTTCCAGAAGAATATGGCGGGAATGGTGGTTCATTAGATGAAGTTAATAGTAAGTTAAATAATTAAAATTAGTTTTATATGTAATCGAGAGACAAGAAAAAGTTTTAATTTTCTACATCTGTCTAGGGGAATGGATGAAAAAATTAGCTGATTACACCCAGTGGTTCAAAGAACAGGAGTCTGTGAAAGCCAACGAAGCATTAAGACTTGGGAAACCGACCAATTACGATGAGCTCTTCGGTATCGATGGATCGTTCAGACAATTGTCTATTGATTAAGTTATAATATACATAATACAGTATCTTACTATTTAAATTGTGATTATATTCATGATTGATATTAAAGTATGGGACAATTCGCAATTCAAGTTAGTGTTGGATATATCTTCTAATAGTAATATTAAATGATATAAATTGTATGAGTTGTAAAAGTATCACGTGTTAAAAAAGAGATTTTACGGCGTTTCTATATGGGTAATTAATTTTGTATTTTATCATTCCAAAGGTTTTATATTGGTTTATGGAAAAAAAGTTAAAAAATCTAATAAAATAATATGTTTAATTTTATATTTTTAGCTTTAGCATTTAACATTTATATGAAAATGTTATGTTACTATTTCTAATGTATGTTTACGAAAACGATTAAAAATATTTTACATTCTGAGCAACTTTTATTTTGATAATTAATATAAAATTTTATTACAGCTATCTTTAATTGGATTTTATATGAAAACAATTTCAATATTTTCAGAGAAGTTGAATTGTAAATAAAAAACTTTTGCTGATATTGTCTATGGGATAGACTATAGAGATTTGTTAAAAGCAATTTGCCTTTATACAATTCTTTATACCATAGGTAAAAAACATATAAACCAAATCTCTTCAAAACTAAATAATTTTGAAACGATTTGATACAAAGAGTTGTATTGGTGAAATATTTTTTATTGATATTATTTAAGAAAAAAAGCATATTTTGAGATCAGAAAATATTTGAATATCTTAAGCACTGCTTTTGCAAATTATTACATACGAACTAACAATTATGAGCGTATACTTTATATTGTAGTATTTCAATCCACAGAATAAAAATTGACGCCTTATAGAATATTTTAGCGATATTTATATAAAATTCTATTAACTTTATGCATGTTTCATTTAAATTTATTTATTAAAATGTTTCTTTATTTGGTATATTCAATTTATTTGTACACCTTTATTACGAATTATTGGTCCATGCAAAAGTTTTCGAAAAAGATTTACACCGAAATAAAAGGCTATAATGGTGTCCTAAAAAAAGAATTCCGAGCTTTAAAAATTATAAATAAAAATACATTTTATGTGTCTTTATCTGGATAACATAATTAAATTCATTATCAATTAATTAATAGTATTTTTAGTGCTCAAAACTTATCAGTGCATATCTCCACTTTCATCATACTTCTTCAATGATCATGGTTATAACGAGATTTAATTTTTATTCTCTGTCAAAAGAAACTCTGTGAAGATAATATTAGAATTACGTATTATGTCTTACTACTCGAACAGAAGTATGGAATAACGTTGTAATGATGATTAATTGACTTTAAGATTAAATGTCGTCGGGATCAATATATCAATCATCATCAATACATATTATAAAGTCCCCATAGCGTCTGTTTGTTCCGATTAACTCAAAAATTACACTAATTTTCAAACGGTTTCCTCCACGCGTTAGTGTGATTTTCGGAGAAGATTTGTTATTGTATTTATTTGCGTGTACATTAAAGATATTTGTTGTAGATGATAACGATATTAAAGATGATAAAATGAGACCTCTAGGAGCTTTTAAAGAAAATTCTACTTTTGAGATATCATAAGATAATGTATAATGGAATTGTTTGGCATTCATGAAGGGTTTATTGGGAAGCTATTATTATGCATATTTTAACATAATTGCGATATTGAGTCTTATAAAAATACATCTAGCCTATATCAGTACCTGTAAATTACTTTTTGAATCATTTAAATCGGAGGTACTATTTGAAAGTTATCATAATATAAGTTAAATACTTCTCAATATTTAATTGGCACGATAGCTTGTCCCACACTGTCTTGCCTACTGTTTCTTTAGCTAATAATCCAAACGACAATAACTCACCACTGGTAATCGTGCTTTATTTTGTTTTCTTTTTAATTAGGTTCTTATACACGAAGTTCTTTTTAATATACACAAACTATGATTTAAGTAAAAAATACAGTAATTCTTAGTTCAAACAAAAAATATTATGTATAACGAAAAAAGATGGCGAATTTTTGATTTTCTTGAATTAGCTTAAAAAGTATGTTCTCAACCAATTTTACGTAACACAGGCTGTTTTAACTATATTTTTTGTAAAGAAACCGTGTGAAGCCGGGGCGGGTAAGTAGTAGTTTTATAATAACACGCTGTCAGGCCGAATGAAAGAAACGTAGCGTTAAATCCGAAGGTCATTAGTTCAAGGTAGTCCTTGTTAATTTTATGATTACTATAATTGGAGATGACGAATATATATGAAAACAGAGAATTTATAATCTGATACCTCATTATGTTTAAAATCATCATGAGATACGTCTAGAAACTAGTTTATTTTAATAAAACTAGTTATTTATAATAATGTAGTTCCTTTAATGAGTTTACTTTCTTAAGCCTCTCTAGATAATAAATGAAAAGACTACATACTCCCGACGTTTCGGCTACTTTTCAATAACCGTGATCACGGGTAGACGAGATATGATCACGATTGCTGAAAAAAGTATGTAGTTTTTTACAAAAAGAAAGTCACGTAGTATAATCCGAAATATATTAGTTTCATTTAAATGAATAAAACTCGTGAAAATCTTAGATCTCATCTATTAAATGAAAAGATTTCTGAATTAGGCATTAGGCATTCAGTATGGCGATGTAAAACCTATGGTAATGATGATATAATTTTATTGACTGTCAGGCGTAAATCTAACTTCAATCTATATTGCATTTCCAAGACAATGAAGTAATTATTTACTAAATAAATATATGAGTGTAAATGATAAATCTCGATATATATGTTCTATAAAATATATTTTGTCTGTAATTCTGTTGGTATAATTCTAATCATTATTTATAGATAAAAGTATAACTTGCATGTTGTTCAACCGATACTACTGAATTTGAGCGGAAGGTTTTAAACACTTTCGTAATATATTAAGAATATTTAGTGTCATGTTATAAAGTAAGTAAATTCAGGCACATGATAGTATACATTTATAATAAGAAGTAAACACGGATATCATGTAGGAAATGGTTGTAGGCAGATCTACCCAGAAACATTTTTTGTCGGGAATGGAGTTAATATGTAGAAAGTATTGTCAAAACCTGAAAAATTAATAAAATGTTCAAAAAATCGACTAATTGCTATTGTCCTCCTGTATAATTAAAGCACGTTATTCTACATGTATCTTTCGCATTTTCAAGATTGCTAGAGAATTAAAACCTTAAGAGAACATATCGTGAACACTGAAATTGTGGAATGAGCTATGTTTTGTAAAATAAAAAAAATCAGACAACCATACATTTGTTGTAACATAACAAAATAATTATTATCGAAGACAAACCTCTACCTTTATCTATTTTTAACTTATTGCCTTAGTTACTTGTTAACTATTTCGGCTATATCAAAATTTAGGGTTTTGATTAAGTATTTTAATTTTTTTTTATTATTAATCAATTTATTTAAACTCTTTGTTCCCTATTTGGTATTTAAAAATCTATACCTATACTATCATGTGGATAGACTTAATAAAGAAAAACTGAACAAAAATTCATTTGGTGTAAGGGTACAGAATATCAGGCACAGTGTTGCTGACTGCATACTTTGAATCTCAAAGCTTCTGATTGTCTAAAGACACTAAAAGACTGAATATTTTGAAACAAATTGTATTGTACAAAGCATGCTTCTTACTAAGACCAGAGATTATTAACTTACAGATTATAAGTAACAGACTAATAAATATATTACAAAGCTTTTTTTTAAGCATATATGATTACGAAATCTATACAAATCACTATATATTTTTATGTTACAATGAATTGCTGATTCTTCTGTATTAGGAAATCTTTGGTAAAGGTCTGTTAAATCATTGTGTTGTCTGTTAAATCATCATGCTTTGTTTAGATTACTTGCAGATTGGCGAGCAAGTTCTTTTAAACTTAACTATATCTGTTGTTCATATGTACATTAGGAAAAAAATATCTATTAACAACTTTCTAAATTGGATACATTTTTATATATGTCCAGATGGTTATAAGGTATCTATAATATACATAGAATATACGACTATGATAAATAGTTGATTCATCATTACAACTTCAGCGGTAATGGTTGTTGACATTAAAATTGATAGTTTAAAGCTATTAGAATTAGATTAGACCACGTATCATTTCTTAAACATCAGAGAAACGTGTAAAAACCAGTAACATAGATGTAGACATAATGATTCATTAATATTGAAATGATATTATTTCATATGAAAATAAATATTAATGTGTTTTATTATGACGTTGGAATAGATATTCATTGAGTAAGAGATTAAATGCTAGAAAGCTACAATACATCCGAGTAGTGTGAACGAGGCAGCAGGTCAAGTCGAGCATTTCCCAAGCAGAGAGTGGCGAACCGAGGTCAGTAATAGCTGGGTTTCACAGCTGAGTGCACGCACATGTGAGTAGCTAAGATAATATTAAATATCGAATATTATTCATATTTAAGTTAGAAAATATTTAATATTTTATAATACACACGTACAAAATTTGCGATACGTCCTCAAAGGTTCGTTTGTAAGTAAGTTAAAAATTTGTTACATTCAATTAAAGTAACTATATTTTACTAACGATTAGAAACATTTCATAATATTTTGTACATCTATGCAGTTTATTTCATAATTTAGAGGAATTTTTGTTTTGAACGTCTGAATATAAATGCTACCCTCATTTTGTAACTTTTTGGAAATCATTTAGTATACATAGTATCAACCAATAAAGTCACTAATTGTCGTCCCCTACTAAAGATATCTGCACTATATCTTATTTTATAGATTTATTTTGAAGGTACGTTTTATTTTTCTTTTAGAATATTTTCTTATTAAAATATGTAATGTCTTAATTTAATTAATTGGAAGTCTTACTATAATATCAGAATTGTTCCATAATTTTATTAAAAGAATCAAAAATTTCATTTGAAACTATCTCATGCACTATTAAAAATTGTCGTTGTTTCTAAATATTTAAGATTTCAATATTTATATACATATAAAATATACGCATATACTGTTGTTTTAGTATCTAACGAAACTAGTCGAATTATAAATATAACTTCTCAAACAAGGCAAACGTGAAGGCGATCAGAATATTCTTAAAAGTTGCTGTTAATGGTAAAAAGAGATATTTTTAAGAATACTCAGTTTTATTTCGTTATTGTGTTTTTTCAATAAACATCATGTCAAAGTTTGTGGTTGGTTTGGGAAATGACAATAAATGTAGCAAAAAGAACGTAACTAAGTTATTTGAAATTAAACAAGTTAATAATAAAATACTAATATAAAACGATTTAAAAAATATATATGTTTTAAAATTAAAGTTGATATTATATTTGAAAAAGTGGTTAACAGTAGTGATTGTAATATAAAAGATAATTTTTAATAATTATATTAATTACTAGTGTAATAATATCTACAGAATAACATATTTTACACTCAAGTTGCTAATAAAATTGTGGAAAATGTATGACAGATAGATTTATTTACATTTATTTACGCGTCGCTGACTACAACGTACACGTCGGTAAGATTGCATACATCAATGCTAATTATAATCTGTTGATACAAATCGAAGGTGAGTCCCCGTGATATGTTAATTTATATATAAACAAGGAACTTATTAAACTATGTATATATCGTATTATTTGACTGTTTGCTTTGTACACGAGGGTGTATTTTGTACACTTTTGTCCACTACTCGTATTATTCTTGGACAGACCGGTGTATAAATAAGTAATAGTCGTGTTCCCGAATAAAAGCTTGTTTTAATGTTAGAAATTCTCAGCCAGGTGGAGGTTTACAGTTACGTGCATTCACCCTAGACAGTAAGCGGTAGGATACTGCATTAAATTGTTATAAGAATATAATTGCATTAACTAATACAGATTAATACAGTCTTATACAGTTTTTTGTTTAATTTATCGTTAGTCATAACAATACCATTAATAATTTAGACTTATAATAAACTTTAAATTAGTTTTATAATTTATTAAACGATCATTCATTTAAAATGAAATGAATTTATCTTTCCTATTAGTGAGTTTTAATTTTAATTAGAAAATAATCTTAAAATTAATACTGCTTAAACTGTATATTGTTATTTGAGTCTTTTTATTATTATAATTCGGATCATTGTAAGTTGTTATATTAAATTCAAATTTCCGCGTCTTTAAAATACAATTAATTTGATTTGAAGATTAAAGTAGTAGGTATCATGTATTCAGAAAAAAATTATTACCATTTACTTTCTCGAAGTCATTAAATGCGATATAACATTAAGACGTTCTAAGTCTAGGGGAAGGTCAGTATGTATCCTTATACCAAGGATACATACTGACCTTTATCCAATTCATCGTCACACTACAAACGGACAGTTAACAGTTTTTCATTCATGAATCATAGCAAATTACAGTACTGTCGGACGTAATTGAATGAGAAACGGGAACCGCTTCGAATGTAGTGTGTCGAAGAAAACTTATACTAAGGATGCAGATATCTTATTTATTGCAACGTGGGAAACCAGTTTCGCGATTTGTTATTTTTGTTAGTGATTGCGATCCTCTCTAATCTATAGAACTTAGATCACTTCGGTCTTTAAATTATGAAACAATGTTATATTATATACTTACAAAAATATCAAAAATTCTTTGTTACATTTGTCCTCTTTGTCTTTCACTATAAAATATAATATGATAAGGATGTATTCAGTAAAAACATCACAAATATGACGTTTTAAAACTCTTTCGTAAAAAAACTGCGTAAGTTATTAATTGGTCGAGAACACATTATACAAACGTATATGATGTCAAGGCTTAAAACTGATGCAATGAGTTTCTCTGTCACAGTGATAAGTTTTGCAACAGCAAAATTATTTATACCATTGTCCACGGAACTCCATTATTATAAGGATATTATATTTTATGAAGTAAAATAATTTTTAATCATTAGGTGCGATGCCTGATCCGATTATGTAAAGTTTTCCTTGTTACTTATAACAATATAAATTTTTTCAAATATATTCAACTGTGATCGACTAAATTGATATAGCCAATAATCAAATCACACTTTTATTGCATGTCGTTTATCAATTATTTATAAAAACGTTTTCCTTATAACAATTAGAAACGGTCATTTCGAGCAAGATGAAGTTGAAGTCAGATTTACTGGTGCAACCTTCGGGGGAGTTATCTAAGAAGATTAGGGAGGAACTCAAAGAGGATCCGGCAACAAGAGATCGCGATCTCGCCGCTATCAAGGACTGGCTGCGGAAACAACCTCATCTACCTGATGAATGGGGTATGTTGTTCTATTATCATTAGCAAGCGTTACGTGTCGTTATAATATTATTCTTAAATAAAAACAATACTTCTTTTATTCTTAACTTCTACTTAGTACTTCTTTCTTCTTCGTTTTATACGCTTTGGATATCTAATGTGGATGATATATTATTGCAATTTGTCCTTAGATTTTTATAAGTATTTTTGATTGAATGTTGAATACCAAATGTGTAAACTTAGCAATATAATAATATTTGACATGATATGTATATTTATTTGTTTTTAAAGTTAAATATGTTAGCATACATATATTTCAAAATAGTAACTAGAAATATACAATTATTATAGCCAAAATAGTCTATGAATCATGTAGATTATTGGTCTATTGTATTTCGACTATAGAGTGATAACTTTATGACGCGAGAAGATTCAAACTTGCAGCATTCGGAATATCGCGTCCTAGGTGCTTTAGGCAATAGCATGTAGATAACCATGTTTCTCGTGGTTAAGACTTTAATATATAAGGTTACGTTACAAAATATCGGTATTTAGTAAAATGGTCATAGAATATCATCAATATCCGGGAATGTGTTAATGGATGCATGAAACAATAGGAGTAATTTTTCTCATTTATCATTACTAAGACTAGAAAATAGAGTTTTTATGAATTTTGGAAAAAAGCACGAATGTTTTATCTGGCATTACTATGATCTAAACGGCTTATAAGCTAATTATACGAAATTAGAGATTTATTATAAAATCTATTCCATTGTTTCAGAGGACATGCCGCTCCTCACATTCCTCAGAGGAAGTAGTTTCTCATTGGAGAAATGCAAACGTAAATTGGACATGTACTTCACTATGAGAGCCGCTTGCCCAGAGTTCTTCACCAATCGCGATGCCACCAGCCCAGCTTTGAGAGAAGTCCTGAAAACTAAGCTGTGAGTCATCCTATTATGTTATGATTAGCAGATTTTTTATATTTATGTGCATACGCAATTTGCATCGCGATTTTCTATATACGTAAACATTAACCGTAAATGTGCAGCGCAACTTAGATCATAGATGCCTTAATTATAATTCAATTTTATTCTTTACTAAAAATCAACGTTAAGACACATGAAATTATTGACAAATTTCTCATAAGTGCTACACGCGGGTCAGCTATTGGCCTAGATTTTGCACACCTTCACTTATTGCAAAATGATGCTAACTCCGTTCCACTTAATTTCATATTCCAATGTCATTAAAGAATAAAGATCATATAATAATAGCGGAAGCTAAATCGTGATTTAAGATGTGCTCATCTAAGTTTAAATTTCAATGACAACGCTTTAATCCACTCAAGGGCGGGCACGCTCACGGACTGCGTAATCTTGCAAAGCAAATGTGTATTACGTAAGTTTTTAAGCGTACTTTGCAATATTGAAATCTATGTTGGATCTACGTGTTAATTGTTCAATGTAGACACACTACAATCATCATCATTTATCACGTACATCACTATAAAATAATCGTTTTAACAATAAAATTATAATGTATTATAAATAAAATTCATATTTTTATTACGTATACTGTTATAAACTCGTTACAACTTAAATGTATATTTAAAAATAATAACTGATCGTCTTTTCCTTTATTTTATATAAAATGTCCAATCTATAAACACATCATAACACGTGTATAAGAGCAATTTATTTTATTAATGTCATTGCAATAATTGAAATTGCAGATAGTGAAATAATGAAGGAAAATAGAATAATAATGGTAGTTACAAGTATTATATTATATCTGTGATATACTTTTAAGACCTTTAACTTTACAAATAAAAAAATGCGATAAGTTATATAAGTGCCATTATAGATTAAAACCTAACATTTTATAGATTCGATAAAAATAATAAATAAATTGTTCTCTTTGAGCTCTCACATTACCTGACTGAAAGTGTATTTTGATTTACTACTAATGTTTGGCATTGAGTGATGTTGTTCGAAAAATTTAGTAAAATCCAAGACAGTCTTCAATTGATTTAATTTATTTATCTTTAACAACATGTTAATTAAAATTTTCAACTAATCAGCGACTTACCATTTAAATAACATAAAATCAAAAGCCATTTAGAGCTTCAAACAGACTTTATTTTTATTCGATTGTTTGAAAATAGATTTATTATTTTTCTTTCAGACAAGGACCAGCGCTGCCTGGTGTAACGCCGAATGGCAGAAGAGTGACGATTTGCAGAGGTGAGATTTACGTACATATCAACAAATAGACTAAACAAACTCAGTATCTTTTTGACAGATGAATGTCAATATATAATTGATAGTGTAAACAAGACCTTGAGATGATTTGCATGTTCTTCATAAAAAAAACAAACGGACAGTAACACTTCAATAGATTTTAAATAAAGATATATAATTGTGGCAAAATTATTACTTTAGTTATAGCTCTTTTAAAACAACTAATAATTACATATAAGTATATTTAACATATTAAAATATGTTTAAAGTAACTGACATAAAATGAGATTCAGTTTATTTTATTTCTCGTCAATCCATCAAGGCTATACGGATGTTTGTTCTCGACTCACGTAAAGTTTACCAAGTACCCGACGTTAACAACATAACATGATTGTTATAATAAATGATGGTATTATGTTTAAAGAATAGGAAATAAACAAAACAAACCACGTGTTACGTTTTTTTTTATATTAAGATATTATTTCCTTAATAATTTTTATAGTAGACAATTGTCATGGTTGTTAAATAAATTATTGATAATAATCAAATTACAGCAATTGATGTACAAGGAATCCCTACTAATATAATAAATGCGAAAGTAACTCTGTCTGTCTGTCTGTTACGCTTTCACGCCTAAACCTCTGAACTGATTTCAATGAAATTTGGTACAGAGATAGAATTGACCATGAGAAAGAACATAGGATAGTTTTTATCCCACACTTTTGAAAAGTTCTCTTGGAAACGTGATATAATCGAACTCGACGCGGGCGAAGCCGCCGGCGGGAAGCTAGTATTTTATAAAACTAATATTTTAAATCAAAAAGTGTGACGTTTTAATATATTAATTTGAATGTAATTCACCACATGTATATGATTCTATCAGGGTTTATACCTACTATGTATTTAGGACTCAATAGAAAATGGATCACGTAGGTATATAATATTTTAGACCCAGTAAAACGACTAGAAAAGACTCTCTAAAAATATTCATTTTTATTCTACACGCTTTTAATCGGTCACTAATCAGTAGATTAGTTATTTATTATACAATGAAATGACAAGTTAATGATTTTTTTTCTTCTAGGTCTTTATCCCAGTTTAGATTCCCAGCAAATAACGGACACTCTGAAGCTAGCTCTTATGATCGGAGATATCAGATTAATTGAAGAAGTGGAAGGCGTAGCTGGTGACATTTATATTTTAGATGGAGCTGTTCTTGGTGCGAGTCTGCTGGGAAGATTATCTCCATCAGTTATTAAGAAGTTCATGATTTGTGTTCAGGTAGGTATAATTTCCATTATTATGTTATTATAACTATATAGCGTCCGTATTATTTATTGAAAGTCATTTCCCCTAAGAAATTTGAAGATAATTTGATAAATAAGTTCTTAGGAATCTGTATTCTTCATCAAACTTTAATTGCGATCAAAATTTGGTTTCGTTCAGTAGGATTACCACTAGTAATTCCGGTCTCACTAGATACGGATAACATTTTTTTCTATTCTATTATATTTGATTACTTTGAAAAAAAGATAAATTCTTTCTTTCAATATACATTAAACAAAAAAAAGGTAAAAATTTATACCGAATAAGTTAATAGTTGTTTATTTGTAAAGTTCGATGACACAGTATGTTTGTATAGAGGAATATGTGAAAAAAATATATTTGCAGCAAACAGGATTTAGAATAAACTTAACACTACATACGTAATACATATTTATTAGTTATTACAATAGCAAACAAAAGATTCGTTGTTTATATTCCATTGTTTACTTATCATGTGCCAATAGCTTGAGCGAGGTAAATCAATATTTTATTTTGGTTCTATTTAAGTAGCTTTATTTTAATAACAGGATGTATATAATTACACGGACGCCATTAAAATATATGATTTTCATATTATAAAATAGGTTTTCCATTAATTTTTTTATTATTCCTTAATTGTTTAAAGTGATAAATAAAAATTAATAGCTATTTTTACGACATAAAAATTAAAGGAAACGAAATAAGATGGAATATATGAAAAAGTTATATGACTTTTAATATCACTTCGCGTCTGTGATTTTAGTGACCTTATAAAACTCTATTAAAAAAAAAGTTATTTGTTAGTATTATACTACAGACATAACAAAAACAAAGATCAACAACCTAGGTACATATTCCAACCATTATATATAGTAATGTTTTGTTGAAACATCCATTATTTTGAGGGCTGGTTCTTCCGGTATAGTCATACCTCCGTACCACTTTTTCATCTTTTGAAATCATTGAAATAAAGTAATATAAATTTGTTTCTAATACGTTTCAGGAAGCATATCCAGTAAAACTAAAGGAAGTCCACATCATCAACACATCTCCTACTGTAGAGAGATTCGTGACCTTCGTGAAGCCATTCCTTAAAGAGAAGATACGGAAGAGAGTTAGTGGATTTTTGTTTTCTTATATATTATACAATATTTATTTCCTTTGTTCCTATACACCTTTCCTTTGGTCTGCAAAGAAAAGCTTTTTAGAAACGTAAGGCAAAACATGATAAGTTACGCAAACTGTACTGATGCGATTGATGACAAGAGTCCAGAAGTAAAATGTAGAAAATGATTTCAGATCTTCATTCATAAAGACCTCAAGGACCTATACAAGTACGTCCCACAAGAAATGTTGCCGAAGGAGTACGGTGGTCAGTGTGGTACTATGGACGAATTGCAGCGTAAGTTTTATACAAAAATCTCCTCGGTCTTTGGTTCCAAGGTACCTCATACTTCTGCAGATGCGACAAAACCCGATAGTCAATTTGCAGAAACTAACGAAATTCATACAATTAAATGTAGTCGTAAATAAAACATGCTACAGTATGTTTCAATATATATATTGAAGTATTACTTTGTTAAGATCAGAAAGTTAATTAAAAAATATTTTCAGAAAACTGGACGGACAAGCTGATAGAGTACCGTGACTGGTTTAAAGCTCAAGACGCTCTGGTCGCTAACGAAAGCCTGAGACCAGGGCGCCCTACTAACTACGACGAATTATTCGGAATTGACGGCTCATTTAGACAACTGGCCATTGATTAATGACACCTAGCCTCTTACTTTAGGCATAAATAATTTTAATTGCAAAATTTTAATATTTCTTTGCGGATAATTTAGTTGTCATTTTGTTGATGGTAATAATCCTTGCTTTGTTACAGCTCGTAGTTAAAATTTTATAAACTAAATTAGTAATTATATTCAGGTGAGGTTTTACATAGCTATTTTTACACTTTGGAATATTACTTGGGAACCAAATAGTTATTAAAAATATTTGTTGCCTGCTCAATAGTTTTAACAATAGTAATGTTTATATTTTCCAAGATTCGTCCTACCTATACCAATTTAAATAATAATTTTGTTCTGATTTCTTATCGTTTATTTTTAATGTAATACTATTTTTGGGAACAGATTTATATAATGTAAGGCATCTAAATAAGATTAATTATTATTTACATTAAGGTTGATATCCATTTCTGTGATGTACTGAATAAAAATGTACTTAATTCATTATATTATAATATTATTTCTTATACCATTACATCTGATGTTTCTTTAAGTTTAATTACTGACAAACAAAAAATTGAACAATGAATGTTTAGTAAAATAAAAGAAGAATGAAGAATGAATCATTAGGATTTTGATTTTTCAGGATTTAAAAAAAACAAGTGTGTGTATTCGGCCATGAATTTTTCTTCAAGATTTTAAAATCTATATACATATGAATATTAAAGATAGAGATTCAGTTAAGGATTTAAAATATTCATTAGAAAACTATACAAAAAATTCCAATAAAATTTCTCACTATTTAATGAAAAAAATTATTAAATAATATCACATTTCATTCACGATTTTAAAAACTTCTTCCATATCAGTATCAAAAAAGTATGGGTACAAGTTATCAAGTTTATCAAAATTGTAAACTGCTTCGCTTATATTTAAACCATTAATTCTGTCTACTTCACTTTGTGTGAGACTAAAGTCGAATACATTAAAATTTAATTTCATGTAATCTCTATTAGAAGAGTCCGATATCGGTGTGATTCCACGATCTATCTGAAAATATTATAATAAATAAAAAAAATGGTCAATATGTCCAAAAACTACGTTCTGCTTACGTGGTCTTTGTAGAAAAGATTTTTATGTAACTGATAAGAAAAACATATGGTGTTTGTTCTAATAAGAGTTCTTAATATTTACCAAATAACGTAACACGATTTGACTGGGGGTTTTGTTGTGCTTCTCAGCTATGTTCATTAACGTGGAGTTGTGAAAATTGGTGCTGGAAGAGAAATTTCTGAAAGGTCGCGGTGCTAAGAAACCGAATGGAGAAAATGCAGTCACATGTATATGGTGACTCTGACAGTAGTCCACCAGGTCAATGTTTGTAAACGTAGGGCTTACCTGGAAATAATAATGGTTATAGATTATATTCAAGTACAATAATTTTAAGATTCTAAAAGAAACATTAAATTGCTCGTAAATTGTTTATTCTTAATTGTGCGGTAGGTTACTAGGTAACAAATGAGATAAATAAAACTGTTTTAAAAAAATACTTGTAGTTTTTGACATTGGCGAAATAAATGTTGGAAATATACATAAAAAATGTCACTGAATATTAGATATGTAAAATATTATAAGTTTTTTTTTTAAATCAAATACTGTAGCAAGTATAATTGAGCTAAAAAAATTGTCTACAAAACTAGACCATACAATTGCGTACTCTGCTACAGTTAAAATACAGATATAAAGTTAAAATACACTTTTATCTTTATATCCATGTCTGAAGACATAAAATGTAAATTTTACCTCCACTTGAATAACAGCAGGTTTTATATTACACGTTTTAAGTATTTTATCTATTTGCGAACGATTAAAATTTGAAATTCCAATGGAGTTCGTTAGTCCTAATAGTTTCGCTTCCTCCATGCCTTTCCATATATCAATACAGTTTATTTCTTTTCCTGTAAGCTGCAAAATACAATAGATAATTCGTTTGATATTAATTGAATCGTATAGTTTTACGATCAATTTGTAGGTTCAATGGGTAAAAAATTACTTTAATTGATACTTTTATTTCATTCATATAATGAAATACTAAGATTGTCTTAGTTGAACATTTTTTACTTTGAGTTGATTGTATACTATTATAATAACACGTCGCGAAACCCAAAATTTAGACCTACCATTAATAGTTTTAATAAAAATGTTAAAATATATATTAATTATTGAAAAATTACCACATCAAATGGTATGTGGACGAGATAAAGATCAACATAAGCCAATTGTAACCTCTGCAGGCTTCTTTTGAGAGCAGGAACGACTTCGCTTCTATTTGAATAGATATCAAGCTATAATATAAGAGATTTTGCAAATAAATATAAAGATAATAAAGTAAGTCTTTCATTCATTTGTTTTAATTAAAAGTAAGTAAAGAGTTACTCAAACCTTGGTAGTAATAAATAGATCTTTCCTGTCTACGAGACCACTCTCGATGGCGTTTACAATAGCTTCCCCTACTTGCACCTCGTTGAAATATAAGGGAGCTGTATCAAAATGTCGGTATCCAGATTCTATTGCTTTAACCACTGTTTTTGGAATAGTTATTACGTCCTTTATCTGAAATTGTTATTAAATAAAAAAAGAGTTTTATGAGTCTGGTAAATTTAACTAAAATTGCTGTCGAATCAAAAAAATATATAGCGGAGCATAATCTTCGTTTTATATTTTGATGACATAATATTTTTTCTGTCCAACACTTAGAGGTTTTTAAATGCGACAAATTGAAGTTCTTAATTTAAGGAATATCATATTTTATTTCTTCTCAACAACAACAAACTCTTAACTGAAAAACAAAACCATGCTTCCGATATATTTTTTAAATTTATTTCAAGACCATAATTTTTTTTTATTCAGAGAAACGAATTTTAATTAAGAACTTGTGGGTTTTAATGCAAACTATTTATATTAAGAAAATCCTCAAGATCGTTCCAACCACAAAAATACTGAATTTAAAAATGAATTCAACGTAAATTATTTAAAAATGTCAATAACAATTTTATAAGAGAACATTTTGGAGTTGTCCACCAAGGTTTAGTATTATATGTAGTTTTATAAAAATACATAAAATATACATATAAATCAAACATACCTTTCCAAAAGTACCGAAAGCAATGGGTGGCATTGTATAGCCATCGTTCAAAAGAATATTCATTTTTATAATCTCGAAAACAATTTTATCCTAAAATATACACGATGAAAAAATAAGCACACGTTAATTAACAAAATTACACACATATTAATTAGTAAAAGTATGTCAATATGTTTATAATATCATAAACGAAAAGTACCTATTCAATTGAAACTTCCCTTCCACTTTACGTAGATAAGTAAGGTTTATAAATTAAAGTTGTATTATATTAAATAAAAATTAACAACTTAAAGTCTCTTTCAACAGTACCCTTACGAAAGGTTTGAATTTTACATTAAATACGCACTTTCGAGTTTACTAGAAATAGCTGGTTTATAGTATCAACTTAAGTTTGCGAATAAACTGTAATCTAACGTTAAATAATTTAATCTCACAACATTTAAATACCTACATACATATGTAAATGATAGTTATATATTAAGAAAATATTTGTACACCACCTAAATAAGTTATTTGTAAACTTTATCTTGTCTCGGTCACAAAAGGTTTTTGAATTTTTTTAATATGTGATACTCCTTAATTTTGGTTGTAAGTAACTGCTATTCAAATAACTATTACTATATATATGTAGATAAGAGCACTATATCTATGAATAATAATTAAAACATAGTCTTAATTACCAAATTATTATCGTTTCTGACCCTTCAGGTCTGATAAGAATTACGTTTTTACATTGTCCTTCAATGTCTTATCATATGGGTAAAAGAATAAGTTACATTAGTTTACAGAAAACTTAGACATTTCGTATGAAGGAAAACGCCTATCCAGGAACGTTAAACTTATACAATAATATACTTATTACTGCATAGGAATAATAAAAGAGATAAAATATTAAAACAGCTTTAATTGTACTTATATAACAAACATACTCCTGTTTCATTAGCAGCTTGTGGTTGTTGATGTTCATTCATATTCGCGGCCCGTGACCAAACTTCTGAGGAATTAGTTCCGAAATAATACTCATATAAGTTCTCTACATTTTCATCAAAATTGTACAACTTTATATTTCTATCCAACTCATTGATTTCGTACACTTCTTTATCCGTAAGTTTAAAATTTAAAACGTTGAAATTTGACTTGATGTGCTCCTTGTTAAAAGCCTTCGGTATTGGAACTGTCCCTCGATCTATCTGTAATGTTTATTATGGATATTTTGATTACTGGAGACTTTATTTAAGATTTAAGGAATAACAAAAGTTTAATATTTCATCACAATATGAAACTTAGTGCACGTAACATAGTTACATATGTACTTACCAAATAACGTAACACTATTTGACTGGACGTCTTATAGTATTTTCGAGATAATTTCACAAAAGTAGGATCATCAAACGTGAGATTATTGGTTGTATTTTTAAAAGGCCGTGGCACAAGCAAGCCGAATGGAGAATATGCCATAACAGCTATGTCTTCATTCTCACAGTACGATACCAAATCGAGATTTACAAAAGTAGGATTCACCTGGAGTCAAAGATGAAAATGTTACTTATTATGGGATGAAAATGAAAATTTGTTTTTCGCTTGATACTTTAATACATAAACGGAATAAAAAGCATTAATAAAAACTGGTGGGAAGTGCTTATTTCTTTTATTTCTAGGAAGTAAAGTTGTCTTTTCTTTTATTACAATTTGTTGATCATATTTAGCATATAAAGAACAAAAATTTACCTCTATTTGATTAACAGATGGCCTTATTCTGCTATGTGCGAGAATCGTATTGATTTGTTTGCTATCAAAATTAGAGACACCAATGGACCTCGCCAAACCCATCATTTTCACTTCTTCCATGCCTTTCCAAATGTCGAGAAAGTCTATTTGCGTTCCTGTGGGCTTAATTAGAGAAATTATTTTATGAACGATTTTATTGATGCACTAATATCCGGTTTTTATTGAGTCAAATTTTTATCGCAACCGAAGGAAGGATAACCGAAAATATAAATGGTGAATTCTACCCGAATTTCAAAATATTTGATAGTTTATATGATCAGAAGCCGGCAAAATCAGTTAAATTTTGTTGCTTTGTAATTTTAGGAAATGTTTTGTTAATTGACAATTATTTATCAAATTTGGATCACCTGCATCTTTAAATTATTTAATTGAATAATACTTTTCATGTTTCTTATTTATATAAATCTGCGAGACGTATAATTAATTTCTTTCAATCCTGAATAAATATGTCCCTATTCCTTTCATTTTTCACTTCGTTATGATAATCGTGTCTAGCACGAAGAGAACTGGCATGAAGATAAAACCCTTCATGCTAGTGAAGCGACGTTTTCGGAATTACATGTATATTGCATAAGAAAAACAAATAAAGAAGAAAAGAAATCCAGAATTATAATGGGCTCTATTATTATCATAAAATATAATAAGAAAAACTTACCACATTTTCTGATGTATGGATCAAAAATAAATCTACATAGCTTAACTGTAGTCTTTGTAAGCTTCCTCTTATCGCTGGAATAACTGCACTTCGGTCTGAATAAGCGTCTAGCTGCAAAATAAATATCAGTGGTATAGTTACAAATATGCTTCTGTTTATGGAGATGAAGCGAAGATATTAAAAATGATTTATTTTTGAATTACCTTTGTGGTAATGAATAGGTCTTTTCTTCTCACAATACCCCGCTCCGTGGCGTTTATAATAGCTTCCCCGATTTGCGCCTCATTGAAATATAAGGGAGCTGTATCAAAATGTCTGTACCCAGTTTCTATTGCGCATATAACAGATGAAACAACATCTTTCAATTCGGTTATCTACACGGGAAAAAATCAGGACGAAATTATTTAAAAATTGACACTCCTACCTGAGTTAAAAATTAACTATTATTTTTGTATAAATCATGGACTAAGGTTATAGAAAAGCTAATTTGTTTACAACAACACATTTGTTTTAAGCACTCTCAACATTATTGACTAGTGTAAATAAAATTTGTTGTAAATGAATAAAAAATATAAATTTAGTACTTTATATGTTACCAGAATAGTGTAGGAGTAAAAATCGGTAAAAAGGCTTCGAAAAGTTAATTCAATCGAGTTCTTTTTCGGTTTTTGTTAACAAGTGGTCTTCTTATGAATTGTTCCTATATATTATATCTTACTATATACTTAATGATCTTGCTCTCACACCTGTATATTCTAATTGTAAAAAGTTAAAAAGATCATTTTTATACAAACCGGTGTTGCAGTACCAAATGCGATGGGCGGCATCAAAGAACCATCATTCAATAAAATTTTCTTCGAAAAAGTCCCCAAAACAATATGGAACTAAAAAATTACAAAGTGCTAATAATATACGTATGTAATAACAAAATTACAACGATCATTTAAATTATACTCACAGCACAGAACAGGATAAAAATCATAAGTTTATGCATTTCTTACGTTAAAGACTAATATTGTTTCATAAACTTACACGCTCTACCTGGTTTATATAAAATAAAGTGAAATCTAACAGCAATAATATAGTCAAACTAGTGCATAAAAAACTTTATATACTATGTCGATTACATATCTACATTTCACCTAATTAAAACAACTTTTGTATATCTTATTGGCAACATTAGAATGGTTATAAAATTATCGTGCTAGATATATTTAATGCTTTTTAAATTATTTCGATAATTTACATTTTATAGTTATTTTATACTCACAAATTAATTGTCTAGTTTGTTTTATATTTTTGTTTAATTTGTTGTTATATTACCAATTCATTTTCAATTATATTTTATATTTTTTCCAAGCGTCAAGTTTATCCTAGATTTTTCTGCTTCACATTTATGCTTTTTACATATTAAGCAAGTTTTGTGTTGTTTGGAGTAAAATTATTGTATTATTTTATAATCAATTGGATATTCATATTATGTGTAATCAATTTCCTAAGAGTTTAAGGAATAAATCTATTTCAATAATCCTATTTGAGATTTGGGTTGCATATTTACTTAACTTTTTGAGAAGAAAGTGGTTATAATGTTAATGATGGGAACTGATGTGTAGATTTTCAAATATCATCTCCAGTCCCCACTATTATTTTGTACCATTTTTTTATATATTCTGAGATCTAAACGATATTCCTATTCACAAAATGTACTTAATTCAAAATTTAAACATTTCAATTACATTTTATAAGAATTATTTTTAGTTTTTCCAAGATTTTTTCGGAAAAATAAATATTATAATTAGTTATAACTTATATAATTAATCATTAAAGGTACTAGGGATGTTTTGAGACAAAAAAACGAGTATATAGACGTATTTGAAGGCGAATAAAGTCACTGGTATGTCTATGTCCCCTGAGTTCACATAAAAATATAATTTTAGAAGAAAAATATATGAAAATTAAATAAAAACACGTTGATGGAGGTTGCTAAGTTATGAATATTTCCTTGCCTCGGTAAAGAAAATGTAAATATTGTTTATGGTATTTTAATATACTTATTAAAAAAATCCAAGTGTATTTGTACTCGAAAGTTTAAATTTTAATGTTGACGCACATTAAGAAAATTTTAAAATCCTATCTTTTTATCTTTGGTCGACTCTATAAGGCTTAAGATCAAATACGTAAAAATATTACTTTTTACGTAACAAAGCATATTCATCTGAGCACAATTTTTATTATATAAGTTGTTAAAATAAATAGTTTCAACGAAAATAAACACGTTTTGTTTCTTAAATTTTTAATTATTCATACTATCATAGTCTCCATAAATTAATTGGATCTGAAATATCAAGACCAAACTACATTTAGCCTTTAAAGATGATTACATTTTATAGATGTCTAAAATTGTATATTACGGCCTCGAAACTTTTAACTAGGCTAATGTACTAATTTCAAATTAACTAAAGTAATTTATATTTTATTCAGAGATAAAAAGTTTTATACTCTTTAAAAGAAAACCTTGACAACTCATACAACCTTTATTACAGATGTTTGTCCAAAAAATAACAATAATTATTAATTAAAATTAAATGATAAAGTAAGCGAAATTCTTTTCAGCCAACATAGTTTTGCAATTTTGTAATCACAAAAATTACAAAAATTGTAATTGTTATTCATAATTATTAATACTAACTAAATAATTTTTGTGACGTCATAATTCGTAGTAAATTATAAACAGTTATATTTTATTAATTAATATAAAAGAAAACATCTGTCAATAATCCAGATACAATCGTTAATATCGAAATAGATAAATAAATATAAAATTAATATAATATCAGCAGTAATTATATGATTAATATCATTTTCTCACTTTAGAGTTACTTTCTAAAATCTCTTACATACATTTTAACCTTTTTTGTAGTCTAAGAAAATCTTAAAGCTGAGCATTCTTTGTTCCAGTTTTATTTAACTTTGTATAAAATTCATTGGGTAGTGTGTTTCATTCATTCTAAAGGGATGCAATTATTTACCTTTACGGAAGTTGTTGCAAATAATGTTTCGTTTGGTCCTTAACTTCTAAACCTTATTCAGTGTCATTCTCCCACTTTCAACTCTCTTACTTCGCTCCTGTTGCCTAATTGTGTCTTTGCAGTATCTAAGTCTTTTATTTCTGTTACATCATAAATAATTTCTATAAACTCTTAGTTTGACTAGTGTTATACCAGAATGAGATGTTTTTTATGTTTTCCTATCGTTATTAATTAAAATTTATTAATCATATATTTTTTCCTTTTATTCCTCCTCCGGTTCATGCCTTCGTCAAATTGACTAACCTTCTTTTACGTGTTTCTTAAAGTACCTAATGTGTTTTTACTCTACTGTGCATTATAGAATATACTTAGCAGTTTGTTTAAATTAAATAACATAAATTTGATATTCCATGGCTTTTAAATCGATTAGTAAAATTAATTTACAAAAAGGAAAACAATAAATAATTTAATTAGGCATATGTTATCGTAAACACCATTTAATTTTATTTAAAGTTTTAACTGTTGAGTTAAATGAGTGTGATAAGGAATTGTAATTATTTTGAACATCCTACATTCGTTTACAATTAACTTAACCACTACAATGTTTAAACTGGTCTTAATTTTTCTCCAGCTCTTTAATGTAAATATTATTTTTATATTTACTTAATTTTTTTTGTGTATGTCGAATGTTAATTATTCGTTTTTTTTTTATTATAGATTCAAGTATATGGCAACACGCAAAGGGGATGGCTCTTAAACGATGGAAATATTATGCCGCCTATAGCTTTTGGCACTTTTGGCAGGGTGAGTTTTCTTCGCTTATTAAATTAAAATTTTCAACCATTTTTATTTTCTTAATATTTTTTTTATTTCTCGATGAATTTCCTATCCATTTTTTTATATAGGTTTGGAGTTGAATTAAAAATAAAAGAGACATATGTGTATTCATGCTATCAGCGAATTTAAAATTTTAATTGGTTTATAAGAAATAATCGACGAAATTGTTTTATTTTAATTTAAATAATTTAGAAAAATATATATTTAACTCAGGATAGTGATACATGAGCTATATGTTAAAGTGTTTTATATTATAACCTTGCTAAATATTTGGGCAAAGCAGCATATGCTTTTTAAAATTTTGACTCGTAACTTATACATATTTGTTATTTTGACCTGTATTTTTGTATAATAATATGAAAATTTAAAAATTGCTACCATATTCACCATCAAGTTTTATTAAATACGTCTGTCATATTCATGTCTATTACATTACATTATTATTGTATACACAATATTATTCTGTTTAAATAGATAGTTGACATAGAAGATAAGGTTGGTCAATCAATTGAATGGGCAATTGAGGCTGGATACAGACACCTTGATACATCTTACATATATATGAATGAGAAAGTCATCGGTGACGCAATCCAACGAGAAATTAAACGAGGAATAATTACTAGAAAGGACCTGTTCATTACCTCAAAAGTAGGTTTGAATTTGAAAGCATTAAAAGATTACTCTAAGAAGTCAATTAAAATTTTAATAAAAGTCCAAAATATTGAATAATTATATTCATTTCAGCTCGACGTGTTCTCAAACAGATCCTTAGTAATTCCAGCACTTCGTAATACCTTGAAGAGATTACAGATAGATTATATAGATCTTTATCTCATTCATTCCGCTTACAATCTGGTAATAATACATTTTTCATTTCCTTTACGACAACAGAAATAATACGTCTCATTGTTTAATATCGTACTATTGCATATGATAAGATTAATTTATTAGACAGATAGTATCCAGATTACTTATTACTAATTTATAACTACTATTATGTTTCAAATAAATTTTAACTTGCGTTTGTTCTATTTGTTCACTTTTATGCTACTTTTATTGATTATGTTAACAATATTTGCATCTTGTTTATTCCAGACTGGTGGTGTTATTGATTATTTAGAAACTTGGAAAGGTATGGAAGATGCGAAAAATTTGGGATTAACGAAGTCTATCGGAGTATCTAACTTTGATAGTTCACAAATAAACGACATCTTCGTCAATTCAGAAACACGCCCCGCGGTCTCTCAAATCGAGGCAAATATAATTTTTTAAATATATTAGGAGTGTAATAAAAAAAAAATCTTTTTGAATACGTAATTTCAAAAATAAGAGCCTATTTTAACTTTTAAACGCTACTTAGTTTTTCAATAACTGGAATTTGTCACAAAAAAATCGATGTACAAATAATACTCCTAACTAAAATCTAAAAAGAAAGCATGTTAAAATAAAAAATCCCCTATTTCCCCTTTTAGGTTAATCCGACGTACACAAATTTAGAATTAGTAGCGTATTGCCAAAGTCAGGGAATACGTGTGATGTCATATTCTCCTCTTGGCTTGATGGTACCCAGACCTTCACAGGAAAAACCAATACCAAGTCCGGATGATCCGGTAATTGCGAAAATCGCTCAAAAATACGGAAAAACAGCAATTCAAGTCGTCATTCGGTATTTGGTAAGTATTTATTAGAAGAGGTTACATTTATTTTAGGAACAAAACTACTTTTTAAAAGCGTATTTCCTATTTATCGTCGTCATATAAAATTCATATTTAGTTATTTAGCTTTTTTTGAGAGACTTTTTTTAAATGAAATAAGCATAAATATCACAACTCAACAAAGAGAGACCATACTCAATTGATGAATAAACGTTAAATACTTAAATTTTTATGCACTTATGTAAATATAGACTTGACTACAAATTTTTAAAACATTTTTTAATTTTCAGATCGATCGTGACACTATTCCGATACCAAGGTCGACAAACAAAGAAAATATAAAATCTAATATTGATGTATTCGATTTTTCGTTAACCGATAAAGAAGTCTATATGATCAATCAATTTAACTTAAACAAAAAACTATTCAATCAGAGCGGAATAACTGATGTGTTTTTCGAAGAGTATTATGGTGTGAGCAGACAGGAATTTCTAGAAATTTATTTACATGATGTATCCCTTCTTAAGCAATAAATGCGAATCAAAGCTTTTTGTTATTATTTCTATAATAGTAATACTATCTTAATGAAAAGTGTGTCATAAAAAGACCTTTTCAGTTTTCAACCATCTTTATGTTTCAAGATTTTCAATACATGGTCTAACACGCAGTTAATATATTCTCAAATTATATTATTTTGCTTTTAAATGGATGTTACTCAGCACCTGTCAACTTTAAAGAAGATTTTAGCATTGCTAGTAGAAGATATAAGTGAACTATATAAAAGTATTCATAAAGAGAAGAAAATTCTAGATCATTTCAATAATATTTAATTCAATTTTTAAAATAAAAAAAAACAATTTTTGTAAATGTGCCAGTAATCATTTGTAAACATTAAAAATGCAAGCAGTTTTTATTGTTGTGCAATAAAATCACTTGATCTTAAAGTCGTATGTCATGTTTCTTGTAGAATGCCACTTGTATGTTTCTTGTATCATAGTTATATGTTACTCGCAGGTACCTTTATATCATCGAATGGATAATGCACAGATTCTATCCATTCCGCGTGGATTATAACGCGAATGTTCTTATTGAATTTATTTATTATACCAATTTCTTCGTCGGTGAGACTAAAGTCGAATATGTCAATATTCTGCTTTATTCTGTCTTTGTTTGTAGATTTCGGTATAATAGGTAAGTTCCGATCGATCTGAAATAGATATAAAAAAATTAAATAAAAACTTTTTTCTTGTAAGACAAGATCTTTGAACAGCTTTCTAGCAGACTCAAATAAACTATTATTTAGTTATTTATAAAATGACTAGTTGCCCCTTTTCTTTATGTTAAATTGTTCTAATTATTACTGTTATAATTATTGAAATAAAATTGTTTTTTTTTTTAGTTTTTTCAATTTAGAATTGTAGGTACTATATGTGTGCTGGACAAATATTTCAAAAGTATGTGCGGAGATGTAAAAATAATTATTTAACACTTAACAGCTTCTCTCTTTTAAGCTATTAATCGTAAAAGGAAAATTCAAGAAATAAAAAAGTAATGAAATATATTTCTTTATTACAAAAATAACATAAATACTATATTACACAGTAATCTCAGAAGGGGAAGTTTGGATATCCCTTCAAATGAGCAAAGTCAATGACTCGGACATTTTTGTTGAATCTACTAATTAATGCGACTTCCTCGTTCGTGAGACTAAAATCGAAGAGATCGATGTTCTGGGCGAGCCTCTTCTGGTTCGTAGACTTGGGGATAGGCACCAGACCACGTTCGATCTGAAATGATTATAATATTCCAAAATAACAGTTCACGTAAAGTAGTAAACCCAATTTTTATTAGGTAAATTTTCATAACAGCCTATATGAAATCAATATATATAGATCAAGCTAAATTCTCTACAAGATTAAATGCGACACAAAAATTAAATAATATAAAAATTGATATATACTTACAACGCAAAATATGTACCAAAAAAAGACACCAAGAAAAACACTTAAAGAGGTACCGAAATATGAATTATAACAATATCTTACCAGATATCTGAGAACGATTTGACCGGTAGTCTTGTTATATTTTCGGGCCATTTGGACAAGTGCGGGGTCATCAACCCTTGGTGGTGGTGCATCCGGCCGCTTCCTCGATACTAAGAATCCAAACGGACTATACGCCATCACTACGATGCCAAGATTCTGGCAATGTTTCACCAAGGGCTCCTGGGTTAGACTCGGGTTGACCTGGGATTAGAACGTTTATGAAAACAGAGGATCTAGTGCGTCTTGATATCTTCTCAAATCTGCTAAGTATTGTTTTATTCAGATACTTATTTAAAATACAATTACAATTGAAGAAATTTTACAGTGATAAGTTTATTGATCTATTTGAGATTTGTAATCTTATTTTGTTGTCTATAAAAATATAAAAGCTTATACGACAGTTTTATTTAAAGGTATAATTGTTATTATTCTTTTTTTATAAAATTCGTCATATTACCTCAACTTCATTGACAACCGGCCATATTCTGGCGTTGGAGACGAGGTTGGATATTTGGGAGGCGTTGAAGTTTGAAACACCTATGGACCTTGCCAGGCCCAAGTCCTTTGCTTCTTCCATTCCTTTCCATGTTTCCAGATAATCTATATCTAGGACTTTGCCGTCATCCTACAAAAAAAAAATACCACATTAATCTGATGCTAGCGGTAAGACTTGACATTTGGATAGAAATACATTGCTGCAAAAAATCTCCACTAGAATAATAACCACAAACTCCTTACGACATATGTCGTAAAAGGGTTGAAAGATGTGAGGAATATTTTATCATAATAATAATAAATAAAATATACTAACATCTTCAGCGATGGGGAAGTGAATAAGATAGAGGTCAACATAGTCCAGACCCAGTTTACTAAGCGATTCCTTGAGAGACGGTACGACTTGATCTCTACGGTGTCTATTGTTCCAGAGCTAAAAAATACAAAGAAAAACTTATAAAAAGACACAAATAGAAAAGAAAATTCCTTGAAGATTTGGATTTAAACAAAATTAAAAATTATTTTAGTTCAGTACAGTATAGCCGAAAGATTTGTATTTTTTCTACAGTCGTCTTCAAGCCACTTCGGTTTTTTTAGGGACGTGCAGGAAAAAATATACGAAAAGTATAATAAAGATTGTATGGAAACTTCAATTTAATGGAAAATATTGATGGGTAAACAATACTTGGTAGCTTAACAATCAATAACATCAGAAGTCTTACCTTAGTTGTGATGAACATCTCCTCTCTGCTAACCAGACCATTGGCTATGGCTTGAGCTACTCCTTCACCAACTTGCTGTTCGTCTCCATAAATAGCTGCAGTATCTACATGCCTGTATCCTGCTTCGATGGCCCAATACACCGACTGACGGACCTCATCCAGCGGTGCTGACTGGAAATATAGAGTTCTTTTTGATGATTAACGTCATAAAACATACAATAACTATTAGTATATGAAAATAGCTCCGCCAGATGTAAAAATATAACAGTGAGTATAAAATCATCATAATATTGCAATGAATAAGAAATGGCTGTAAAAATTACCCTCTAACAATATACTAAGCGAAAACAGCAATATTTTGTATTATCGAGAAGTCAATTTGAATTTTGAACATAATTCCTTTAACGAGTTTTGCTTGGCCGATTAAAAAACACATAATAATTTTGTAATATATATTATAAGTAGATTATATATTTGTGAAAGTTTAATTATGTAACATCAACTCAAACTCAAAGTTTACGAGCAATGGCATTATAAGCTTATATGTTCTTTTAATGAAACACATTCGTGCATTAGTAACAAAAGGTTAACGGCACAAAACTAGTTATAAAGCCAACGAACTATGATACTTTGTATATACTTTATAAGAACCGGTCCTGTTGTTTGCAAAATTCTATCTTAATATGTGTTTGAAAGTATGTCGTTCTACTTATCGATTGATAAAAATCATTACATCAATAGCCTGACGAAGGCGAATAAGAATATTATATGCCAAATAGCCCATAGAGAGAATTTGAAAACTGCTTTACTAATGCATGTCGGTTTTGTAAAAACAAACCTACGTCTATTACAGGTAAAATTATTTCTCAAAGTAGTTTTTCTTCTCTTAATAGCCAGTTAGAACTGTGTAAAAGCTACGTATTTAAAAATGAGTATAAATTTAACTTGAATTATGATAGGACCACGACGTATCGTATTATACAAAATGTTTGTAAACTCAACAAAATGTTACACTAAAAATTCACTTATCACCATCATTATCAATACCTTCAGCACGAATTTTATATAAATATGCATATAAAATTAAACAGTAATTTTCATCTTCATGATATATGGAAGTGAAGGAATCATTTTAGACTTTAAGTAATTTTAGAACACCAGGTCGTTTCAAGATCAAAAAGTCGACTCAAAAACCTCGAAAATAACACATTAAAAACATGTATTTGTTACAAATAAGTGATGAGTTGAATACTATATTATACTTGTACACCTTTATTTGGAACCGGTTCTATCAGCTGTAATGTATTTACTACATAGAAATTTGCTGAGGTATTATTAAAAGATAACGAAGTAGATTAAAATATATGGACGTTAGCTGATTTTTACAGATGTATCTACTTAAAATGGTCACAATATAATTATGTAATTATAGTATACATTATCCTAACAAATTACTTTACATATAAATATAAAGAAAAATGCTACACGTTAATAGCATACACGCCTGTACTACATATCACATTTGTAAAGTATTTTAATAGGTCCGTAATCGACTCTTAGTCTGCGGGAATGTTATAAATATTGTATTACATTGCTACACGAGGGACAAAAAAATATATACTCCATAACGTGTGTTTTGTAATAATATTTCACACACTGATAGATAATAATATCAAAATCAAACGATATATTCAAGGACTTATATGTGTGTGCAATCAATTATGGAAGAATCATACAAGAGATTTTCATTTAATAAAAATTTTATTGCCTTATTAAAAATTAATTAAATGCTTTTAAATTTAATATTTGTTTTTTCGTCGAATACATTTTAATTATTAATTTTCCTGTGAATATATTATGAACAAAGGAGGAAACATTGTGTAACAAGTGACTCTCAATAAAACCTGTAGTTTATAAGACACGAGTACTAAATTACACTAGTACGGTTAATAATAATGGCAACACTCACTTCGCTTGCTGTCCCACGTCCTGTGCCGAGGGCAACGACCGGCATGAAGATGCCGTTGTTTAATTCAACACATGGAGCCTTTGCTGCTGTTGTCACCTAGAAGAAGTTTTAATAATATTGAATAAACTATAAACAGTATTTTTTTTTTCATAATATATACCGTATTTCTTCTTCTACCTGGCAATTTCCCAGCTATAGCCAGGGTCTGCCTTACATGTTATGAATAGTTTTTGGCTATTTGTTTTTACGACCGGCCGCCTGCCTGACATCAACCCTCTTTGGGAATCAACATTAATCAGTGATGTCTAAATACTATAAGAAAGTACATAATATATACCGTATTTATATAGTCAAAACAGTCTTTACAAACCCGATGAAAATTAAGTGAAAATTATTGTATTCATACTCCTAATATCGTTATATAAAGAAATATATGTTAATTTTGTCAAAAGAGGTCTTGTAAAAACTAAGATCAATTAGAAAAAATTCAAGCTTTTGTAGTACATATAAATGACGCCTTTATCTGCTTCTCATGAGTGTCAATCGTATTATGGTTTAGGATTAAGACAGACTTTTGTCCGGCCAAATAAGAACACTAAAAAAATCATAAGTGGTTTTGCAAAATAAAATGTTTAATTAAAATAATTTTTAGTTGATTTTAAACTTATTTATCTTCAGTAATAAATTTTCTAGTTATACTAACTAATGTAATACTGAGAATAGAAAACTCAATACAAAGAATAACGGAATTAATAAAAAACTTTTAATTATACAAAATTATTAACAATCTACTTTATATTATATTGATAAGAATCTTGAAAATTTATTTTAACCTTACACTTTGTTTACTATAAAATATATAATAAGATATTATTTTTTATTTTACTCAACATTTTAATCCCAAGGGCGATGAATATGCAATTAATATTAATAATTTAAAAACTCATAACAAAATGTAAAAAGAATCTTGGGGTAGGCGGAAATATAAAGACAGCATACAGATATATGTTTTAAAAAGAGAAAATATATCCAGCTTCTTAATATTATTTTCATAAATATATAATTAAGTAAAGAAAATATTATATTTAGTACATATCTTTATAACTATTACAAAAAAATAAATAATTTAAAGGACATAAAATATATAAGAAACTGATTTTTCTTATTTCCAAGTGGTAAATTAGATTTTTACATGCAAATATTATATTACAGTTAAATTAATAAATAAGGGGGAGAACCTATCGATATGTTCTTCCAATAAGTATCGAAAATGAATAAATAATCCCTACTAATATTATAAATGCGAAAGTAACTCTGTCTGTCTGTCTGTCTGTCTGTCTGTCTGTCTGTCTGCTACGCTTTCACGCCTAAACCACTGAACTGATTTTAATGAAATTCGGTACAGAGATAGAGTTGACCTTGAGAAAGAACATAGGATAGTTTTTATCCCAGACTTTTGAAAGGTTCTCTTGGAAACGCGATATAACCGAACTCCACGCGGCGAAGCTGCGGGCGGAAAGCTAGTTGTTTATAAACTCATTCGCATCCATACGCGTTGTTTGCACAATATTTAATTAAAAACAGTCAGGTAAAAAAAAACAAGTTGAATACAAATTAAAGCTATAACTTAGAAGTCCTGTTCAGTAAAATTTGTAAGACTTGATTGTGAAAAAAGGTCTGTTCTAAAAAATAAGTTGAAAAACTCACAGCAATTCCAAACAGTAAAACTATTACAGATCTCATGTTGACCGATCAAACTTCGCGGTCCAACTGACTCTTCACATCTAAAATGGTCATATATAACTAGTTTTTTTTTAAACAAACCAAGTCCAAGGACTAGTTAGATGACTCCATACATTGGTTTTCCTTTTTTTTTATACAGTATCACTGAATCGTTTCTTAAACATCGTCTTTATTTTTTAATCGTTCTATTTAATGGTCGCTTAATAATAGTTCAAATCCTTGTCAAAAAAACATTACATAATATTCTTTCATTTGATGGAAAACTAGTTTTTTTAAGTAACACATGATGTCTTTGGTTTTTTCGTCTTTAATTTTAATATAGGGAAAATCCCTAATAAACTGCGTTCTAATAGTAGTCATATAAAGTTTCTATGGACGATACTTACTTTAAAGGTTTTTATTTTTATTTTTAATAGTTAACCTTTGTAATTTATTCTATCATCGTTTTTGTACTATTTGGAAGGCATTTGCTTTATTTCATCATAATGGAAATATACAGGGTGACTGGTGAATTACTATCGATATTTGAGGACGTGATATTTGACGATCATATATGACAAAATAAAAATTAATATAACATAAATATTAATAAACTTCTAAGTAAAGTTAACCAAAAGTTATGTAATTAATTACGCATCGTGTGAACACCCTACAGATTAGGTATACACTGACACTCACACATACGCGTGTCGTGACGTGGTGTTGTATCAGCACGCCGCCGCACGCGTCCACACTTGAACACTTGGAACGTGTCAACACTTTACTTATTTATACGGAAATTTTGTCAAAAATTAAGTGCCTATTTTTTTACATAATTCGAATGAGAATCATGTACCGAGTATTCTCCTTAAATATTGATAGTAATTCACCAGTCACCCTGTATGTGTTGAGAATTTGAAAAGAAAAATAAATGTCTTTACACGTCATTGTAATGTTTAATTTTCATATGAATCGATGACAAATAATTTGTGTTGATGCAATTGCTGCTAAAAATTACATTATTAAAACAGGATAATACTTAAAACAGTAAGTGGTATTGGATAGTAAACATAAAAGTCACTCATTGTCATTTTTTTATTGTGGACAAAATTTTAACACACGAATGGTATTTTCAATATAAGGGCTAATTAACAGAACAACTATAATTTGCGTTATTTTTAAAAGTGTATACTAGCTTTGATGACAACAAATTAAATGGTTAGGTTATGCAGATGCAACCAACTAACAAACCAACGAACTGTTATATTTGTATTACTCGTAAGAATAAATAGATGTGTAAAACTGTTACTTGGCCTAGAGTCACTCTAGAATGATTTCCAATTCAAAGTTTCGGTGTCAAGGTTCGCTTTTGATTTTGAATTTTTATTTACCTACAAGGTGAGAAAGACCGATGAGACATATTTTTACAAAGCTTATGATATTTATATATAAAAAAAAAACACAAGATCCTTAAAACGCCATCCTAAAAACATAGATTGATCTATTATTTTAAAACCTGTATGCAAAAAATATAAGAAAAGTTTGAGTCCTTATGACATTCGTGACAGAGTATGCATAATATTATGAAGTCATATTTTAAATGTAACGATCATTTAAATAAAAACGGGTATTTAAATAAAATGTATTTTTAGGACTATCTTGTATTATAAAATTAAGTTTTTGCTCACCCTAAATACGTGTTTTTATGTATTTAATACTCAACAAAATGGCAAGGGGTAATAACCGAACCAACTTGTTTTTATTTAAGCAATAAAAGATATGTTTACAAAGAGTTATTTACATAAGAACATAACAAAAATTGTCATTCAAATGGGTCCTATTTTTTTTCTGTTACTATAGTAAAGATTGCATCTTTTTAGTGGTCATTCCCTTAGCCAGGTCACTTGTCTAAATCTTTAGAGTGATGAAACCTATGATAAAAAAATCTTCGAAACTTATTACAAACACCATTAACTATTTTTATAATCTAGAAGTAAAAAAGTATTATTCTAGCTATTTCTTGTGATGTAACATAAAATGTAAATTTGTTTATTTCTTTTTAGTAAGTTCTTCCGAACGTTTCGTACTTATCTTCAAATTAATTTGTAAATTAGCTCATAGAGGACATACCTATTAAATATTTTTCTTGAATTAAAAGCCCTTGTTTTATACAACCAAGAACTTGGACATTAAATTAGATATGTTATGCAAGATTTATAGTAAATTGTATGGTTATAATATCTACTTATATTATATTTGCATTTTGAATTAAATTTCATCATCGTTCTTGAATATATTTAACATTAAAATGTTATATATCAGTGTGTTGCAATCCACATTTGATGGTTACAAACAAATTTTACATTCATTTATTTTGTTATAAAAATAAATGTGAATTAAAACATATAAAAACATAAAACAACACACGTAATTAAAGTTATTAACTAAAACATTTGCTCTATTTTGTTTAAAATTAATTATATAATTCTTGGAGGAAGTTGTATATTATTAGTCCAAGTTGCCATCTTCACACTATATAGGGAGAATTTTATTAATAACTTTATTATAATACTTATTTCGATTTATATTGAGAAATGGGAAACGTTTGTTATATATTGTAACGATGAAATATCAGACTAAGTATACTATTTATATATTATATTTTTTTCCACAGAAAAGATAACTGATTAACTATGTTAAATATTGGTATATTTGCATTGTTTTTAAACATATATTTTCGTAGTATTTGTTTGAGCCAAGTCTTAAACACATACATATTCATGTACACGTAGATTATACATAAATTTCCGTTTTAAATATTTTTAATGTAACATATTTTTTAAACGTAAAACCAATTTTAATAATTAAACTACTTATATTCAATCAGGAAAGGGTTCGCCAAATTCGGAAACAGCTAATGTCAAAAGAGTATGGGGTGAAAACTATTACGTGTGGAGAATTCAGAACGGAATACTTTCTATTTAAAGAACTATAGTTGGCACAAAAAACATTACTATGTTAAAGTTATTAAAGTAAAAATTTGTAAAATTACGTTACATATTACATAAAAAGGTTATAAATCAAAATTGGTTGAGAAAACTTATAATTCCATGTTTTTTTTTGCCTAGTTTTACAATCATTAATATAGTTTTATTTATAAATATTTTATTTTTAACTTAAAAACATTCGCAAATCGAAATTCCTATTAAAGATTTAACAATGTCATTTAACCGGGCTGCGTTCCAGATACGATAACTTTCACCCAGCCTTCAGTGTACTTATTTACTAACATGAGAATGTTGACTTAAACATGTTAAGCTTTTTAATATGTCTTTGCCTTACATGGGTACAGCTCAAAAGTTATATGATAAAAAACTTCCTTTAAATTTGTCTTTAAAATATAAGAAAAACAGTAAGTAACGCATAGTTATATGAATCAAATTGCTTATTAATTTAATACTCTACGACTCAAATTTTCCATTTCTTTAGTTTACCAATAACCAATTGCTATCTTTAGAAGATTTTGAGTATACTAATATTAGAAAATCGATAGCTGAGCGTAGTTGGAAGTTAGTCACTCATGCGCAAAAACCACTAAACACATTCCTATAAAACTTTACAATAATGAGGCTTAAAGATGAGAAATACTCAAACAAAAATACTCTTTACGTAAAATAAAAAATATCCTTGATTTAAATCGTTTTTTTTTTGTACAAAAGATCCTGAAGATATTAAAAAACACATTCATAGCCTTCAAGCAGACGCTTATTGAATAGCGAACGAAATATTTTCCGCAATTAAAATTTTGGTAGATTAAAAACTATTCCATAATGATTAAGTTATACACGGTATGTCGAATAATGTAAGTACTTCCGTAATTGAGGAGTTCTACTTAATTTAAAAATATTATAAATTATAACGATCCATAATGATATACTTAACTTTTATAATTCATATTGTTATTTATAAAATATCAAGATGAAAAGAAAGCAATATTTCCAATGAGGTCATTCATAGAAATAGCCGATAACGATTTTTAAAAAATCAATACACAATATATTGCAATCGTATACTTAGTGCATAAAGAAAATGAGCCTGCGCAACTATCTTCGATCCAAAACATAAATCCTTACTAAATTAATTACCTAAGTAATATTCAAATCACGTTGTATATAATAAAAATTATCGCCATTATAATTATATTTAGACGTATGCATTACATGTGAATTAATTATTGACGTATTTAAAATCATCGTCCAACCAAATCGTTTTCACATGCCGGTGTAACTGTAAAATTTTTATGCTATCGCTGTCGCCTCAAAACAGTTATCCATACATTTATTGGAATGACACAACACTGACACTCCTGTCTACTAGCGGCTGAATCTTCATTCGCTTGTGCGACAATCCGAGGACTGGTCACACTATGTGCATCTAGTCATATAAATTGACAAAGATAATTCGGTTTGCGCGTATATTATAATAAAAAAATAAAATGAACGGCCGTCTGCTGTTGGTTTTTGTATTGTTGAGTGTGATCGGGTTCGGGGAAATGAAGAAAAGGAAAATGGATTATCCTACGGACAAACAATTAACTTTGCAAAAGAAGGAGACGACGCCTGTTGATTTTACGAGGCTGTTGGTGATGAGGGTTGTGTATGGGCTGGCGAAGGTGATGGGCTTTGAAGAGCAAGTCGGTGAAGTGCTGAACGGAGCTTTGGTGCCGCCCGGCGCTGATGAAGATGATGATTTCGATGATGATGATGGACTGTTTGATGATTACTAGCGGTACTCGGCCTTAACGCTTCTAGCGTTAATAGCATTCAACTGATTTTTCCTACTTATAACATAAACTATACCAAATAATGGTTGCATTTATTAAAGAACCAATTACATGTATTATTTATTTATCAAAGTGCATAATAGTTTTAAAGGGGGCTTGAGAACTTTTTACATATAACAGTGTATTTATTGTGTGTAACTTAAACTTATCATATTTAATTAATAATTAATGTACCTGGTAGATTTGTAGTATTTATATTAGTGTAAGAAAACCTTGTAAATAAAATAATTAACACATACTTTTGTTTTTATATATAACCGGACCGGTATAACAGCGAAAAATCAAATTAAACCCCTTAAAATCAGGTAAGCCATTTTTTCCTAATGAAACATGACGCGAAAGTTGAAATATATACACCAATGGTGCTTAAGCATATATATTATTAATATTACAGAATGATTAATTGTTTAACTATCTTTAATGCTTTTTAGTCAGATAGATAATTGAAATATCGTGATTTGTTTAACATAAAATATTTATATACATAATTAAGTGTCCATTAAGTTTTACGTGATGTATAAAAACAATATACATAAATCTAAACGACTGCATGATATGCGAAGGAATCTATGAGAATTGGTCACGTTACCTTAATGTCATGCATCCATGATATTCATCCAATGTTATTATATCTATATTTTTTATATAATTGACAGCATAATTACCGTTACTAACCGATCGAGCTCTCAGTGAAAGTAATGCTATTGAAGCGAAACGTGACTTCATCTTACTGAATACACGTTAAGAAAAAATGTGTCGGTGGTTTAATATGTTGTGGATGTAGAGCAACGCGAAAAGAAATGTTTTAATATTTTTTTATTATTATTAATAGATTGATTAAAATAAATTTTTATATAAATTAAATTTGTAGCAAGTACCTGCTTTGAATTTTCCCCTAACCAAAAATCTTGCCTTGCAATCTTGAATAGGAAAAAAAGGAATTTGGTTTGATTTGAATTAAGAACTAGTTAAAGTTAGCGTTCAATTGAAGTTTTCATTATTATCTTTAAATATGCTGGCCAAGCTTATATACTCTTTTTTATTACGCTATAATATGTTAAGTATAAATATTTATTAGGGATACTTAGCCATCAACTGAATAACGACAGATGAAAGTTTTGCATTAAGAAAACAACATATAAACAAATAAAAGATGGCAATGTCACGTGACCACGTTTATGCTAAGTATCGTTACTTCGTATTAAAGATAAAAATATTTGTGAATTAAATCTCGAAAGTAAAGTTTTTAAATGTGCAGTTAAGTTAAAAAAATCTTTGATAATAATTACTTCTTAGATAGGTACCTTTAATTACTAGAGATAAGCTTAGTAAACATAAGGCGGCCAACCGTCCCGCATTCTGCGGGACCGTCCCGCAATGCTAGACGAAATCCCGCTTTGAAATTATTCGTAAAATAGTCCCGCAAAACGTTGTATGCGTCCCGCATGTCCCGCATCCCAATTTTTTACCACACTTCTACACAACACCCATACCACGGTCAACAGTGCAGGAACACAGATTACCTATAATAGCGACAAGCGTAGCGCGCCCGCGCTAATCTCGTTTTCTTTCTTTCTTCTGAACTCATGACGCGTAAGAGAGTACTTAAATTTAATATAGGCAGTTGCGAAGATTTTTATGACATTCCCAATCCCTAACACCCCCCCGCCATTCACGAAAGGTTACGTCCCGCATTCAGTTTTCGGAAAGTTGGCCGCCTTAAGTAAACATTAAAAAAAAAATGTTTTTAATTTTTTCATTTAAAAAACAATGATTTATTCCAAATTTATTACATCATCTTGGCAGTCATTAAACCAGGACGGTTCATCCATAACGTGTTTTGGGATACGAATGACATCGTCGTTATCGTTTTCATCATCAGAATCTCTTGTATCACCATTCAACGAATCACGAGCTGTTCCTGATAAATCTTGAGATACGTCATCATCATTCGACGCCTCCATTAAGTCATAATTGTCAAAATTACTACAACCCTCTAAAACTTTATTCCTCGTCGTACAAATTTCGTCGTTATTCTGGCTCAATACTTCATTACTATCAGAGTCCAAGCAACCCTTCATTTTCCTTATCAAATCTCCCCACTTCAGATTAACATCACATTGTGGACATTTGCCATCAATTGGTATATATTCACCCGGAGACAACATCTTGTCTGCCAAACATGTTATGTGAGTGACTAAGTCACAATTTGTGTTCGGACAACTCAGTTTCTCTGAAGCTTTTAAACAGCCGTAACATAAACCACAAATTATTAAATCAGCTGATGAAGCATTTGTTGTTTTTCTTAGATTACGACTTTTTACAGGGCCTTGGCATATAATCATGTGCTCAGGAGGCATCCTTTCCACCTAAAATTGATTGAGTATATAACATTAGAAAATGTTTGTATAAAATCATATTAACTATTATTATGACTTAAAAATTAGTGCTTATAATTGATATCAAAATCAAATATAAAATTATAGGAATAGAAAGATGCAGTTATCTTACAAAACCTGTGATTCAATAAGAAAAAAAATGTTGTTACTTATGTTTTAATTTTTAATAATTCAAATAGGCTTTATATGCCATACTAGTTTAGTTAAAATATAATCTGTGTATGGAAAGCAGATTGGAATATTTGGATGTTAAGGGTATAGAAAAATGCATGAAAACTGTGTAGAAAACGAAAACCAATAGTACCTTAAGTAAAAGTATGATTTAAAAAAATTGTATAATACTCATTTAAGTATAAGTAAATTTTAAATTTCATAAAAACAAACTACTTACTGGGAACTCTTCCCTGAAATCATTGTCCAGCCATCTTATGAACAATGGAAGCCGGCACCAAGGTCCAACCCTGAGCATCTCACTGAGTACTCGTAATTTGAACTTGAACACAGTTTCCTTGCGACCATTCTTAAACAACCCGAGGTGTTGTAATCTTGTTGTCTTTCCTGGGTTTTGCCAGGCCCATTCAAACTAAAATTATATCATATATGAATTAAATCAAAATAATGATTTCATTTGCAAGTCACCATAGAGACTGTAAGGGAATCATAAATTTCTATAATATTTATTACATGTATGGATTAGAATAAGTTATTAGTTATATTTATATAAAAGTAATTCATTATTATTTGTGTTTATATTAACTCTGTATACAGAGTAACTTAGTTTTAAACACAATTTATAGACAAAATAGCCCAATTGATAGCATGATAATCAACTCTTTAGAGATAGAGATTTCATAGAGATTTGTACTTAAATAGTATTACTTTACCTAAGTATTAGTAATATAAGGATACCTAAGAAAAAATTTAGTGTCAGTTGTGAATTTTGAGTAATATTTCTCACTTTGTTATTACAAGATACTACTAGAATAAATTAAAATTAAAGGTATTAAATTAAAATTAAGTGAATTAATATTATAGAAATACATTAACAGTATAAACATACCCTCAATGCTGAAATGTTATTTGGAAATCCATGAATAATCATAACCATTTTCCTATAACAAAATATATGTTTTTATTTCAATTCTGTATGTAAGTTTCGTATAAAACCAAAAAATGTATTACGTATGGCTTACCATGGCCCCCTTTTATTAGTTCTATAAGCTCCTCCAGCCCAGGTGCCACGGTTATGTTGTATAATTCTTCTATTTGGGTCCGTAGTGTAACCAATATAGGTACGACCTTTATATTTAGGGTTTATACAATAGAGAAGGTATACGCCATAGAAATCTTCAACAATTTCTGGTTCTGTCATTATGGTGCAGCCAATTTTATCGATTTCTTTGCTTATTTCTTTTAATTCTGATCACATTACATGATTTTTTGAAAAGACCACAATAAAACCATATTCTTGAAATTTTGTAAACAACTTTTGACGTTTATTGATATCAAATATTGATAAACACTTAGGTGCTTAGTACCTACCTACCCATCATTCACATTTTTCTAAAAAAAAGTGAGAGATATTTTTATAAAATCAATAGCAAAATCTCTAATTAAACGCGGTTTCATAAGTTTTAAATATGTATACCGTTTTTATTTAAATATATAATAAATAAATAATTTTGATATAAATAGTATACTGTATAACTAGGATTTTTCTTTAATTCCTCTAGAAGCATTCAAGTGTGTGGATATCGTGTTAACTGACATAATATGACAGTTGATGTTTTGATAATCATAACAAAGTAGATAGTTAATTTATATTGCATACTAAATCATAGAAATAATATATATGTTATTAGTAATAATTAACGTTACCTCAGATTAAAATTATTGTTAAAATGTCATCTCAACAATCCGAAAGAATTGATAGGTTATGCGGTTTGTGAGTATTTTTCTTTACTTAAAATTGCAGCTATAACACATTTTAAACTTTTATAACTTATATCCTACAAATAATCTTTTTATAGATGTGAGAAAAATTCAAGCAAATATTGTTGCCCTCGTTGCGAAGTATTTTATTGCTCACTTGATTGTTACAAGTCCGAGAAGCATTTGGAATGTTCAGAGAATTTTTATCGGGAATGTGTGAATCAAGAACTTGCTTCCAACACGGTTGACGATGAAGCTAAAAACAAAATGATAGACATTCTTAAAAGGATGCATAACGAAAGCTTTGATGATGATATAGAAAACATAGAACCAGTAGAAATTGACTCTGATGATGATTCTGAAATTGATTTGCATACAAGGATCAAAGATTTGAATTTAGATGATCCCGATGCCCTTTGGAATGCACTCACATCTGATGAAAAGAATGAATTTGAGGCCATGCTCAGTCAAGGTGATGTTGGGACACTAATTCCACAGTGGCAACCTTGGTGGCTGTTCAGAAAGGAAAAGAAACTTGTTGAGGAAGTAGATCTTAGTCGTGAAAAGGAAGCACTTGAAAGGTGTCCTACAATTAAAGCAGTCCCTAAATTTAGTACGCTGACTGTAAGAGAGCTTTATAATTTTTTCAATATAATATTTTACCTAACTAAAATAAAATGTATTTTTCTTGTTTTAGAGTATTCAGCCTTCACCATCAATAAGGTTTAACATGGCAAATATAATAGCCGCATATGCCTTTGCTATGAGATATGTTAATGGGGAAATTGATCATAAAGAAATATGTACATACATTCTTGAAGTGTGCAGTAATCTGAAAACAAATACTAATTTTGAGGATGCTGAGCTAGCTATAGAGTCTGTCGCACAAATGTGTATACAAGTAAGTTTTAAATTGTTTGATCTCTTGTTATTTAGATATGTGCTAGTTTTATTCAAAGAAATACATTCTATGTAATATTTACAGAGTGAATATATAGACACAGATGAAGCCAGTCTGAATGTAATGAGGCATGACACCTTCCTTATCCTACAAGGCCCTAGTGAAGAAAACCATTTATATTACAGTAAAGCAGCATTCTCACATCTCTTAGATATTTTCACTGAAGCTAAGACGCAGATGAGGAAAAACAAACCTAAAGAGAATAAAAATAATGGCAATTTTTCAAGAAAATTTCCCCAATGCAGTAAAAGTCATTTACCTGATATTGATACATCTACTATTAAAAAGATCATAAAGAAATTGGAATACTATCTGGCATTCTTAGAGAGCTGTGATAATAAAACGGAGTAATGAAACTGTTGTTTTAATTGAAATTAATAGCAGGCCAATAATTTATTTACCAATTATGAAATGGAAGAGAAGTATTTTGTGATCAAATTCACAGAAAATTTTTACCTTATTGTAATAAATATACCAGAAATGAGAATTATATTATTCTATGCATTAAAATGATGTAATTATTTTTTAATAAAACACTGATACCTTTACCATATAATTTAATCCAACAACAAGATACTATGAAGAAACTCCGAAACATTAGTTTTATTTGAAAATTTGACATGAAAAGTTGTATTTGTTTAGACATAAATTTGGTTTCATAAAAATGGTAACTTTAGGAGCTTTAAGTAACATAATAATTTTTTATTAATCATTGAGAAGATTAGCTTAAGTTTGTTAACCCGTCTACCACAATAACATTTTCTATTATACATTTACTATTACATAAATATTTTAAACACATTTAATAGAATATCAACATGATCAACAACTCGAATGGACAAAATATAACAAATTTCTCTACAAATCGCAATAATTTCATCTACATTACAATAAATAGCATACAATATGTACCTGTAAATATTATATAATAATTTTAGCATCTCAAATAACTTTCTTAGTGGCCTGTAAGTTTTCATTGTATATATGTTTTGCACATTAAATAGAATTAGAAGTTCTACAAGAATAGCACATTTAAACATAACTTTGGCTACTTAAAAATCTTTCTTACATTCTATACGAGGAACCTATCCACAATAAATATCCACCATAAAGGCAATAATCTGGCAACATTTCGCAAATACTTTTTTTATGTATGCAATAAGTACTCAGGCACCAAAAATACTCAATAAAACCTCTTCCAAAACCAATTGAAATTTAGTTAAGTTAAAAACTATACACCTAACCGAAGATTTTTAAGACATTAAAAATTTATTTAAAAAAATAAGTCACGGGAAGTTATGTTTAAATTAAAGATTAAGATAGTAATAATTTATAAGTTATAAAATTGTTTTTTCTAAGGTCACAAATACTGTCTGCTTAATATAATTTTTAAACGCGGGAAATGTTAACAATAGAATATTAAAAATATTTTCAATAAATTGTCTAAGAAGACATTTGAAAGTTCTTTATTTATTTACGATTTTCTTTTTTCTTTTGTGAAGTCATATAGTAAAGTAGTCAAAATATCCCTACTTAAACATTTCCATCCTTTCTCTGACGGCATTGATCTCAGAAAGATCTCTATTATATAAATAAATGATTACCACATAATTAACGGATTATAAAACAATTGAAGTAATTATAAAACATAGAGGAGAAACGAGATTCTGGGAAAAGTACCAAAGCAAAAAAAATCTTTGAATACCTCCCAAAATATAAAAATAATATCAGAAATAGCGAAAGGAAAGTTATATGATTTGTCGGTTAAGCGAGAATTTCAAAATATATATGGGTTTAGGTAACCAGTCTAATATGGTATCTGGTTCTGATAATACTGTATCATATCATAGGTCCTGGTTCTGAAATTGAGGAAGGAGTTCCTTATTATGGATAGCATGTAAGCAGCGGCTTCCTTCTCAGTGGAATTAGGAGCGAATCTTGATCTCAACTGTCGTATTGTCTGTCCTCTAAAACACGGCAGGCCGGTGTCCAGCATCAGCGATACTATAGATATTATAGCTTCTTGGTACGGCCTGAAATTATTATATTAAAAGTGAACATTACATACAATAACTACACAGTAAAAAGGATAATGTTGATAACAGAATTCGTGTATATTTTCGTACTGTATTCGAGAATAACTGACAATTAATTTGAATTTATTGAATTCGAGGATATAACAGGTATTAGTTTGTTTTTGCTATAATTATTCTATGGTAGATAAATGATATTCAAACTCACCTAACAGCTAGGAAGGCTTGCACGCACAATTCACAGAACCACCTGAATGGCGGCGCCTCCATTTTACCGCCCATCACCATTACCATCTCATCCGTTAACTTAATATCAGGTTCAAAACCGAGGTTACCACCCGGCGACGATTCGAACATGAAACCGAAATCTAAAAAAAATATCACAGTAAATATTTATAAAAAAATCAATAATATAAACTTTATGCTAAGTATACACTAGAATAATATATTAAATTGTTCTATTAAAATTTTAAAGATAAATAGATATAAATTAATTATAGTACCTATATGTATAATATGTCCGTCTGTGTCCAACATAATGTTTCCATTGTGCCTGTCTTTTATTTGCAACAAGAATCCGATGACGCTGTAAGCGGCCATTGATGTCACGAAACATCTTCTCGCAGCCTGACATACAAATTTCTGGTTAGTATGAGAGAAATGTACTAGATACATCAAGAATATGAACTCTAAAATTATACTACTTGAACTATTAAATGTTGTGGATTAAAATGAATTAAAGCTTTTGACCTTGCTTTGACCTCCATTTAACATATCAATTATTATTATGGTGACAATTTCTATAATTTTTACGCTAAATCCTTTGCATTACCTGAAACTCTCTGGTCGTTTCGTCTCCATACTTCTTTATGAAGTACTCATACATTCCAATATCGGTCTGTCTTCCGAGCTGATCACGTGACTTGGCGTTTGGGACGCATTCTATTACACCGCACTGTAATTTTTTATTTATATATTCAATGTCACAACTACTTTATTTTATATGGCAGAATAACAAACAAGCATAGTTTTATATATAGTCTGTGCTATATATTATATTACAAATAATCTGTGCTTGAATATTTATGTATTAATTAGTATATTATATACATACCCCTGGAGCTGTAGCGACAACTTTGTAAGGGAACAGATATAGATCGAGGCCGACTTGTTGGAACACGTTCTTAAAGAGCGATATCACTTGCAGCGCCAGCATATCCTGTCGGACGTCATCTCCTACTTTGAATATGGCCGCCTGCCACGTCTCCGCTGCTATCGAAGTATATCTATCCTTGCCCTCCTCCTGATACAAAGACAAAGGATATTTTGATTATAATTCTACAAATAGGTCATCTGTTATTGACACTAGTTATAATAAAATGTATATTAATTTTATTTAATATAACTTAAAGGAAGATGGAGTAGGGAATTAAAGGAAATTAAATAAAAATAAATTTAAAAAGTTAACAGTTTTAATTTGAAGTGGTTCATGGAATATAGTTCCATACAATTTCCGCACCGAAGTGAAGAAATGTAGACTAATTAATTACATTTGAACATAAGCCATGAATACACGACGAAAAAGACGGAAAAAACATAGGCCAAATCCTATATCTGATAGCGAAAAATTTCAACCTAATCATACTATCGTTTTATGATACTCAGCTTTATAGCAAATATAAGGAATTAACAAATGATTTTAACGATCTGTCATATAGTGATTTACAGTAAAAATCTATTGAAAATCATAAAAAGCTATCAACATAAATGCATTCTAATTTCATATAAATAAAGTTTTTACTCACAGTCGGAAGTTCCTCCCCGGAAGCTATGGCCATCGCGACGGCTTCCATCTCAGAGATACCGTATTTACGTACACGGAAACGAGCGAGGTATGGGGCCTTGGCTGCACTTTGCATAGGCGTACCTGCGAATTCAACAGTATTTGTTAGTAAAATATTTTATTGTATGTGAGTACTTTACATACTAGTTAACTCTGTTATTAGTCCTATAGAATACTGATGCAGATTTTTTTAAAGTATTTTTTGTTTACCGCCGGATCACAACTAATATATCAGTAAATGTAATAGTACATTGTTTTAACGACTTCATAAGACACTTCGGGAACATTGATTTTATTTTACATCTAATGTATTTACAAAAACTTTATTTACTCACTATTTACCTACCATCCATAAAGTTACAAAATTTTAATATAGCTATAGATAAAAGTAATAATTATAATAACGTTATTTTGTTATGGTAACATACCACTTTTGTAGTCAATGTCCAAAACCATGGAATCAGGGTTTGAAGGCAGATAGCAACCGGGTTGGACCTGAAACGAGATACATTAATATGTCACAATTTACCTACTCATCAAATTCCAATAGACACTCTAGTCTCATCAGCGACTTTTTCCCCATATATTCTCTAAATTTAAACCCACAAAACCCATTCGTTTTTGGGTAAACTTTTTATATATGAACAATTTTTCACCTCATTTATTGACTTATTCATATACTAAAAGAAAATAATTGCTTGTTTTAATCTCGCAAACAAACTGAAGCCTTAATAGTGTTAGTATTGTATACCTTCACATTCTTTAATGCCTCCAAACAGGCTCTTTTCCTCTCGGCTCCCTTTGGATAAGGTCTTATAATGCCACTGATGTTTGTGATCTGTCCGAAGAAATCAAACTCACGCTCGTAGAAAGCCTTTGCTGGTCCGGACAGTGTGTCCACTATGCACTTGGTTAGATTCTCAAGTATGTCGAATAACGCTGAAAAGAAAAAAAATACTATTGCTTTACATTGATATTGAAATATTGAAGGAGATTTATAAACATTTTTATTTGGAACTGGCCAGTGTTATTAAAAAAAATTAGAAATCTGCATATCTGTTTTTCTGTGATACAGATCACAGCAAGTATAGATAAATAATGTTAATTAAGTTTCTTTCAGCCATTATAAGTTTTTAAAATGACATAATTTTTTGTCACCATAAAACTAGGCTTTAAAAAAGTTACGTTGTACTTGTTAAAGTAATGTTGTTTTTATATATCAAAAAAAAGTAATAAAAGTGCTTTATCGCTGTCTCTTAAATCGGTTTGAATAAATTTTGATTCTGCTCTATATACAGGGTAGTTTTAAGAAAAAAATATTTAAGATTGGAGCAGTTTAAATGAATCTTTTCATATTGATATCAGTAAGATAATACTAAAGACAAGTATATAAAAAGTGTACTCACGGTCTTTATTATGCATTTCTTCATCGGTGTACATGTTGGTGTGCATGTTCCAGATTAGCTGGTGGGCTA